TACACCCTGTTCTATTGTACTGCTGGGTTTTTGTCTCTTTTTGCAGGTGTATGCGAACTCGATCGAGTCGGTCTACTGAGGACTTGGTCGAGCTAGACTTCACAACGGGTAGAAAGAGGGTTCAGAGGTCACAGAGGGTACAAGAGGAACCTGAGGTGCTTGTTGCTGATACAATGGATGTACCAGAGGGGAATGGAAACCCTTTGGGTAATGGACTCGGTCGAGCTAGGCAAACTCGACCGATTGGTCAAGGAGATGCTCCAAACCGCCACCAACAGAGACAAGGGATTGTTCCACCACCAGTGCAGAACCACAACTTTGAGATCAAGCTGGGAATGATCAACCTTGTCCAGAACAAGATGTTCCATGGATTGCCAAGTGAAGACCCCATTGACCACCTTGATGAGTTTGATAGGCTTTGTGATTTGACAAAGATCAATGGTGTCTCTGAAGATGCCATCAAGCTGAGACTCTTTCCTATGTCTCTAGCTGACAAAGCTCACCAATGGGAGAAGAGCTTGCCCCATGGCACAATCACCACTTGGGATGAATGCAAGAAGGCCTTTCTTGCTAAATTTTTCTCCACCGGTCGCACAGCCAAGCTTAGAGGAGAGATATCCAGCTTCATCCAGCGAAACAATGAGACATTCGCAGAGGCTTGGGAGAGGTTCAAAGGCTACACAAGTCAGTGCCCACACCATGGATTCAACAATGAATCACTACTCTCCACTCTTTATAGAGGATGCTTGCCTAGGTATAGGGAGATGCTAGACACAGCTAGCAATGGGAACTTCCTCAACCAGGATGTAGATGATGGCTGGCAACTTGTGGAGAACATAGCTAACTCAAATGGAAGCTATGGAGAAGAGTATGATCGCACCAACCGGAGCTCGACCCACCACTCGATCGAGTCAGACGAAAAGTTGAGAAAAGATGTTAAGGCATTGAATGAGAAGTTGGATAAGCTGATCCTAGCTCAGTCCACAATGAAGAAAGTCAACTTTGTGTCTGCTGAGGAGATGGAACCAGTCCAAGAAGGGGAGGATACACAATTTGCTGAGGTGTGCTACATGAGCAATGGGCAAGGAGGTTACAACAAAGGATACTATAACTACAAGTCCAACCCTGCCATGTCATACCGCAACACTGATGTTGCTAACCCTCAGGACCAAGTATATCCTCAACAACAAGCAGCTCGATCGAGTCAGGTGCCACAACATGGGTATGGTCAAAAGAACAATTACCAAGGACCACAAGGCACTTTCCCTGGACAACAAATGAATATCCCACCAGGCTTCCCCCACCAACCGCCCCAGCCTGCACCTTCACAAGAGAATGAGCTCAAGGCAATGCTAAAGCAACTACTTCAAGGGCAAGCTGATGGGGTAGTGGACACAAGCAAGAAGCTAGCTGAAATAAACTCTAAGATCGAGAACCTCAACACAAGGGTTTACTCTCTGGAGAATCATGCTTCTTCTGTTGCTGCTGCTACAAAGCTAAGGAACAGTGCAAGGTCATCTTCACTCAAGAAGGACTTGTTGAAGAAGAGGATCAAGAAAGGGTCATTGAAGATTTTTGTTTACTGCTGAATGATGAAGAGATTGTTGCTGCTGAGGCTCCTGGAGTCCAGATTGATCAACCAGAAGTGCAGCACCTACTGTGGCCATTCACACTTCACCAGTTGAGCTCGCACGAACAAGCTCGATCGAGTCAGCTCGATCGAGTCCGACCTCTTCTGTCCGACAGCCTGTTTTGCTTGATCCTTACCAACCGGTTGCCGCTTCCTCGTCTCGCCTACTTAGTCAAGGTCACAAGGAAGTGATTCACAAGTTCAGAAGAGATCTCAGTGGGATTGGAATTGAGTTGCCTCCTATGGATAGCATGAGTGAGGCATTTGATCAAATGCAAATGGTCAAGGATGTTCTAGCCAACAGTGATAAAGTTTCAGAGGTCCTACAAGAGTCTACTCATCAGTTCAACCTGCTTACTTCACCCACCTTCCTACCAAAGGTCAAGGATCAAGGGAAATTCACTCTCCCTTGCACACTTGGGCATCTTGAGATTGACAATGCCTTAGTGGATTCTGGAGCAAGCATCAATCTGATCTCTCTCTCCATGGCAGAGAAGCTAGGCATTGCTGGAGCCTTGCAGCGCCCTACTACTTCAATCATGTTTGGAGATGCAACTTCTAAGTCTCCTCTTGGAGTGTTCAAGAACTATCACTTGAAAATTGGAGAATGCATCATCCAAACTGATCTCACTGTGATGGAAATGGAAGAAGAGAAGGATTTGCCTCTGTTATTGGGAACCCCTTTCCTTAGTACAGTTGGCGCTTCAATAGACTTTCACAAGCAAGAAGTGATCCTTCACAAGGTGAATAGTTTGGTGTCATATCGCTTGCAGCCTAGAGGTTCAGACTTTTGTGCCACAATTGACAGTACCACTCTCAGTTCTAAGAGTCATGGAGCTACAAAGGTTGTGAAGGAAAGGGTTGACAAGGAACCAAGAGTTGGGAAGGATAAGGATGAGAGAGGACCAAGGATTGAGAAGCCACGTCTTGAGAGGGCTAGAGTTGAGAAACCACGTCTGATAGGCCAAGAGCTGATCGACTTGTTCAAGCCCCTTGTGTGCTTGATGAAGAGAGCCTTCAAGCTTTGTTTGATGAGCCACTAGGAAGGGCTCTAAAAGAAGGGGAGGATGCAGCCTCTAAGGCAAGACCAGGGATAAAAGAAAGGATCCACCAGCTCAGGCCCCTTCATCAAGCCATCTCAGCTCACAATGACTTTGTTCCCCACCAAGTTTGAAAATGGGAAGATTGAGTACAAGATAAGGTACAAGGGGAGATCAAGGCCATTCTCTAGAGCCAAGGCCTTGGTGACTTCAGAACAGTCCAGGGACCCAACCAAGCTAAAGGAGCTTCTGTCTCAAGTCCTCACTATCACCCTTGATGGTGGGACTAGCTCAACCAATGCCTAAGAAGGTAAAGGTCAAGCTATGGGACCTTAAACAAGCTCACTTGGGAGGAAGTCCCATGTTTATCCTTGTACATACTCTATTTATGCAATTTCTATCTATCTTTATGTTTTAACCTTTGAATAAGTTAAGTTTAGGTGTCAAAGGAGCCAGCTCGACCGATAGCTCGATCGAGCTAGAAACCAGGGCAACTCGATCGAGTTCACAACTCGACCGAGGTAAGTTTTTGAATTTCAAATTCATAACCGTTTTCTTGGTCAAGGGAGTGGGTCCCACAAGCTGATTTTGGTCCCCCACTACCCTAATTTGATCAGAGAATCCCTAGCTTCTTGTTCCCTCTTTATTTCACTTTTAATCTCAACCACACATCTCAAACACTCCCTCTTCCCCATAACTCGATCGAATCCACTCTCTCTCTCCCACACTCTAATTTCTGAAACATCTCTCTCTCTCTCTCTCACCACAAGAAACGAATTTCAACTTTCTCTCTTAAGTTTTTGCGATTTCTCTTGTTCTTCTTGTTTTGCTTTGTTCTAGCTTCTGTTCTTCAATTCATCATTCAAGCAAGGTATGAACCCTAAACCCTTGATCCTTCATCTCGATTCCATCTCATTGCTTGTTTCTCTTTGATTTTTGATTGCATGTGTCCCTTGTGGACTTGTTCTTGAGTAATTGCCCTCATATTTCGCCTCTGCTATAGTCTTGTTAATTTGTTTCACCTCACCTCTGTTTTGCCTTTAAACTTGTTGCATGTGCTTGAAATTGAATTTGAGTTTGGTATTGGTTAAGGTGCTATGTTTTCACTAGAATTGCTCATTGTTCCATTTACTAGTTGTTCTTGGTTCAATTTGATTGATTAGCATCCTTTCCAGCTCTTAATACTTGAATTAGGTTTGGTTATACTCTGTTTTCACCCAGCTCGATCGAGTTTGTCACTCGAGTTTTTTGACTCGATCGAGCTGAGTGTCGAGTTGACCAAACCGATCATTACAACTCTAATTCTTTGTAATCTTTGATGCATTTCAGGTACTTTAGTGAAGAAACAGTGTAACAAGATGACAAACAGTGAGGGAAGCGCGCTTCACAGAGGAGAATGGTTGAGGGTGAATCAAGCAATGCAAGAGGAAAGGCTTAAGATGCAAGCCGATTTGGAGAGGATGATCAGAGGATGGAAGATCTGATGCAGAGGATATGTCTACTCTGAGGAACAGTCTGAGAGTGAGAGATTGAGGGAAGAAAGGAGAACCAAGAAGAGGAATGACCCTATTAGTAGTGAGAGTGAGCAAGGGAGTTTGAGATTGGAGTGAACCTTGTTCAAGAGGAGGGAAATGGTCTCCAAATGAAGAAGGAGTGATGAGACTGAGAGTGAAGAGGAAGGAGAAGAGGTGAACCAATTGGTTGATGAAGTGACAAGAGGGGAACCAAGATGAGCCAATGGAGGAGGCTGAACAAGAGGAGGATGAGCTCCCCATGTACCAAGAGCACTACAATGCTCTCTTCTCCATGGACTTTGTGGAGACCAAGTACCCACATGATGACACATGAGGCCCTTGGATCTTTGAGGATGTGGAGTTGGTCTCAAGAACATGCAATTGGCCAAGTTCTTCTCTCACCGCATGGAGTCTACAAGGAGCTCACTTGTGAGTTTTTGGCTCAATGAGCATCACAGTTGATGAGCTCGATCGAGCTGAGTTGGACCAAGGCTGGGGGTACATAACGTTCTTGGCAAGGGAGAGAAGAAGATGGTGACCTTTAGGCAGCTTGAGATCTGTTTGGGTTCACTATGGAGAAGGGAAATGGAACTCAAGGAAAAGAACTCCAAAGAGTTGGGCTACAATCGCTGAAGAGGGGTACTCTTCCTCAAGGTCCAAGGCTGCTCAGATCAGGAGCCCAGTGCTTAGATATGTGCACAAGGCTCTTGCCAACACCTTCTTTGCAAGGAAAGGCCACTGGGACAATCAATGAGGGAGAAGAAGCTCCTTGACATGGGAATCAAGCCCATCATCTCACGCACAAGGATGGCAAGAAGATCAGAGGAGATAGGGCACTGCAGGGAACTCATGCCTCTCCTTGACAGCTCCACCTACAAGATCACAGCTTACAACACTAGGCACCAAGAGGAAGAAAGCTTAGTGTTGGAGGGGTCATCACACCATCTTTGTGCAGCTGGAGTCCCAACTGACAAGAGAAGTCTACTCCACCAGGTTGGATGGACATCAAGTTTTGCAAGACCAACCTTCTCATTGAGCACAAGGAGTTGGATGGGAGATTCCAATTCAAGTTCACCATCCATTGGCTGGACCCTCCAAGCTTCTCTGCCCAACCCTGAGCTCACCACGGTCTAGGAGGTACAACATTGACTTCAGACCCCCTGTGTACACTTAGTTGGGCATGAAGGGATTTGCGAGAAGAAGAGCCTGAGCTCGATCGAGCTGAGGATCGAGCTGAGATCAAGCTGAAGATCAGTCCAGGAGAGTGCGATTTGGGTGAGCCTGAGTGCTATTACTTTGAGGAGTATGAGGCTCCAAGGATGAACCCCTCTGTTGTGGCTGCCCACAAGAGGATTGGACTTCTCCAAAAGTTCAACAAGTGGCAAGGGAAAGCCATGGAAAGATGCAAAAGTCCATGGACAAGATGGTGAGCAAGATCAAAAGTTTGGAGAAGAAGGTTTCTGGTTCTTCAAGCAAGAAGAAGAAGCACCCAAGGCCCCCACTTTCCCTAGGAGTAGATCACTCCTCACCACTCCAAAGGAGGCTCCCTGCCCAAGAGCCTCACAGAGCCTCTTCTTTCGAGCCAAGGGAAGGAGAAGACAACACGCAGAGAAGGAGGAAGACTTCCAAGGCCAGACGCTCCAGCTCGACCACCGGACTCGATCGAGTCCAAACAGAGGAAACTCAACTCGATCGAGCTGACGGTCGAGTTGACCTGGAGGAGCCCCTGTTTGAGAATCCGGATTCGAGTACGATCCAACGCCTACCAGGACTTCTCCCAGACCATGGACCCCTACAACAGTTCGAGCAAGCCAGCTCCACCAAGGCCAAGGGAGCCACACCACTTTGAAGATGAAGAAGAAGAAGAGGAGCCGCAAGCTCGATCGAGTGAGGCAACCCAGTTGCATGGAGTGCTCCTGATGGCCGTCTACCATCTCCAGACCACGACCTAGCCTCCCAGTTCTTTGGGGGGCACTGAGGTATCCAAACACCAACCCTTGTATATACCATTTCATATTTTCTTGCATTTGTTCTTGTTTTTTCTTGGTTTTGCCCTCTTGAATCTTTCACTAAATTTTTCTCACACAAGGGACTGTGTGATTTAAGTTTGGGGGAGGGTTCAAGAGATGATTTAACCTTGTTTTCTTTGTTCTTAGTTTTTCATTTATCTTTTGCATAGAAAAACCAAAAAAATCATAAAATTTTCAAAAAATCCAAAAATATTTTCATCTTTTTGCATTCATATTTGTTAGACTTGTTTAGGATTGCATTTTTCACTTGCATTGTTGATTTGACTTTGAAAACTTGTCCATCTTTTGCGATTTCTTGAGTGCCCTGTTTTTAGATTCTTTTGTGCATTAGGGTGAGATTGATTGAGCAGCAAGAACCATGTTTATCTTGATCATATCACTGCATGCACATCTCATTCAACCATTGCTGTGATTTGATGCATTTCCCTATCTATTTGAACCATAACTTGATCTTTAATTACCAATGCTTGCATTTGATTTCAACTCATGGCTACCACATACATATCTGGACATTCTTTACCTATTTTCATATCCCTTTTGCTTGTCCAGATAGCTGATCTCTATCTTTGAGACAGTTACCACACCTTAAACCTAAGCCTTTTCATTTCAAACCCCATATTATCTCTTGTGCGAATGTGAGAACCTTTCTTGGCTTTGCTTAGCATAAGGTGTTGTGTTTAAACCGGCAGGGGCAGTAGTTCTAGTTGTCTAGTTCTCTTGGGATTGTTTTCAGGCTAAGTTTGGGGGTGCCAACTCGAGCTCGATCGAGTTGGGTGTAAAAACCAGAAAAGTGGTAAAAGTTGGGAAAAACCCAAAGGAAAAAGAGTTTAGTCCAGGGAGTTGGCAGTGTTAAAAAGGGTCTAGTAAAGGTTTGGGAAGTTAAAAAAGGAAGTAAAAAGGGTTCTAAGTAGAATGAAAAGAAGGCAAAGCCTCAAGTGTCCAAAAAGGAAAGAAAAGTTCCCTAAGTGTTTAGAAAATCCCAAACCGCTAGATGTTACCTCAAGAAGCCTCTCCCTAGGAAGTTCTTAAAAGAAAAGTGAGCAAAGCTCCTCAGTTTCAAAGGCGAAATGCCAAAAAGGGTAGTTAGGATTTTGTTCTAAAAAGCTCTAAGTGTTGAACTCGATCGAGTTAGGATTAGGCGGCTCGAGCTGCTGTTCTTGCATCATCTTTGGTTCTAACACTTAGCCTTCTGCCAAAGCAAAGCCACTTTCTTGAGAGATCCCTGTTACTAAACCACCATACAAAAGAGACCCTCTTTGTCTCTTAACCCATAAACCCTTGAAACCAAATGAGTTGATTGATCTTGCATGTTTTTGGTTCACTGTTTTTGCTTAATGAATGTTAAAGGGATTTGCTGATTTGAATGCATTGTTTGAGTGACTGTGAAGTGGGATTGATGTTGATAAGCATGGTTAAATCTTAATGAATATCTCTCACCTTGTTGCATTCTAGAATCTCTAAGTTGGACATTTAGCAAATCGCTTTTGAGGACATGTTTTTAAGTGTTGAATCAGCTATTTTCAAACCTCATCTCTTTCTTGTTCTATTTGTTTGCTTGAGGGCAAGCAAAGTTCAAGTTTGGGGGTGTTGATGTACTTGCATTTTACATAGTTTTAGCACATCTTTTATGCATCTTTTGCATAGTTTTAGCTTCCATTTGCATCATATCTTGTTCCTTTTCTCTTCTTATGCATTCATGTTAGTTTTAGGTTGCATTTGCATACATATGCATGTTTGGTCCTTTGAAATAGGTCTTTTGGAGCATTCTGGAGCATATGGGACAAGGAGCATGGAGGGACTTGGCACATGGAAGCAGCTCAACTGGATACGCAAAGGAAGAAGGGAGAAGCCATCTTGAAGACCAGCTCGACCGTCCACTCGACCAACCGGTCGAGTTCCTCAACTCGACCGGCCAAGCTTCAACTCGATCGAGCTGGAAGTCAAAGTCAAACCCGAAAAATGTTGCTTCCCCCTTGACTTTCCTTTGACCCTAAACCTAATCCTCTTGTATTTAAAGGCTCTAAGCCACGAAAAAACCACCAAGCTTTAGATTATTTTGTTTTAGTTTCTTTAATTTATTGTCTTTTACTTTTTAGAGACTCTAATCCCATCTTTGTGTTCTTGAAGCTCTTGCTTCTTGAATCCTAGATCCTGGATAATCTCTTTGTATTTGCACTTGCTTATTTCAATAAAAGTTGTTTAATTTCATCTCCTCTTTCTTATGATGTCTCTTTTATTGCATTTGCTTGTGTTTACATTCATGTGTAGTGAGTAGTTACCCATTAGGGTTTGAGATGGGATAGATTAGAGGTTTCATATGCTTAATCCTTCTAGCTTATGGTCTTAATCTAGATTCTCTCTCTTTTGGATAGATCTTAAGGCTACATGACCACTACCCCTGGCTTGTAAGTCCTTAGGCGATCCCCACACGAAAGTGATGGCATTCGCTGGAAAAGATCCACTAAGAGCTCCAATATCTCTTGCTCTAGAAATAGAGGTCTAAGGGGTTGGATGGATTAGTTTGGGCAATGATCCTATAGCCTCCAAGGTTTGATTCTCACTGGCTAACCCCCTGTTTCTGAGATCATTCCTTGGTTGATAGCCTTCACCTTGGGAAAGGGTTGGCTAGGCATTGAGAAGCCCAATATCAAGAGAAGCCTTGATACAAGGAGTTTTAAGAGCTAGATTGATTAAGTGTAGATTCCTTTGATTGCAAAACCCTGTCTTGAACCCTAATTCTCTCTTATCTTGTTAAAGTCGTCACCTTTAGCTTTGTTTGTCTCAACTCGTCCCTAAACTCGATCGAGCTGGTACTTTGTTCTGACTCGACTCGAGTCTTGGTCGAGCTGCTACTTCACTGCTTTGTTTACTTTTATTGCATTGCATTTCATTTATTTAGGTTGTTAGTGTTACTTCAAATCTATTACTGCTTGCTTGACTTCCTGGTTGTTTCATATTCTCATAGAGTGACAAGTTTCCCATTTTGGATTGATAACCCTTTGTACTACATCAACTATCATGGTTAAAGGGAATTGTTGACTGTGTTTGTGTTTGCATCTTACCACCTCATCATATACCACTGATTGCATTCCACATCTCATTTCATATCTTTTCACATCCACACACAAATCCTATCATCAGTGCTCCAGCTCATACTCTGAAAATAGATCATGGAATTGATCTCTCTTCACGAACTCGATCAGTTCAGGGTCAATCTCCTCTTCTGGTGTGGCTAGAAGGTGCTCTTCTCTGTATGATGCGGCTTGGCTAGACGTCTCCAGGTCGGCTGCTTCAAGGTAGGGAAGAAGTTTCTTCTTGGTCTTCAAGGAGATAGTTTTGGAGGACTATCCCAGAAGGTGGTGGTGCTTGAGGGCTTGACATCTCTTGTTCGTCCAAGAGGTCTCTTTGAGGTGGTATGTGGCGAAGTGGGATCGCCTTTATAGGGCAAGGACTTGTGCTCCTTCTCCATATCTAACTAGGAAAACCTGAAAAAGCTCAAAAACAAAAAGGAAAAACCAAATCAAAAGAAAAAGGAAAAATAACAAAAACAAAAAGGAAATAGAAGAACCCTAGACTAGCTCTCTTGCAAGAGCTTGTAGGTGCGAATTGGTCCCCGGCAACGGCGCCAAAAACTTGATCGCGGGATCAGGTCTTCCCCTTTCCTATCCCTGATTCTGCAAGTGCACAGGTCAGAAGTAGTAAACGGGTATCGAACACGAGGACCAGATTGCACACTACAACTATGATTGAGATCGAGCTAGGGCAAAAGTATAAGTTGGTTGAGTGCAGAGAAAGTAAAGCATGCAAGTAATAAGAAAGTGAATCAATAGGAGAAAGGGCTAAGCAATAGGATAGTCTTGAGATAAGCAATTCAAGAAGCATGAAATCAATCAATTAGGGTTACGCAATTAGGTGCTAATCTAGAACTTGAAACACTATGGTATGATCATTCCACTGTCGAGGCTCCGACCCCTTTGTTAATCTACCTAGTCGCTAAACTTTTGGTATGTCCCTAGGTGATTAAATCAAGCATTAGTTCGATTAAGTTCAATTGTTCACAACCTACAAGTAGATCAACTTTCGCAGTCTAAAAGAGATTGCCCACCAAATACTAGTTCAGGCGAATGATACAGCACTGTCGAGGCTCAAATCAACCTAAAGGCATATGCTAATTGGCCAGATTAACAACAAGCATTAAGTATAAGCAAAGATGGAGATTATAAGTAAAACCCTAATTGTGATCAATCATCAAGCATACATGAATGCTATCCTTTGACTTCCTATCACTTAACAAGTAAACTACTCAGACATAGAGAAGGAAACGAATTCATATTCATAAGAACAGAGATTCGAATCCTCTCTAGAAAGAGAACAAGCAAGAACAAAGTAAAAGCAAGCAAAACTTTATTAAAGATGTAAAATAGATTGTGGTCTCTCTCCTTCTTGAGTTACAAGGCTAAAAAGAAGTATTTATAATGCACTAAGTATGAAAAAGCGGCTAGACCTAATCTAGCTAGGTCGGCGCCGGCTTTGGGCTTGAATTGTGCGGATTGGGCTTCAAAAACGGCTTCGGGTCGACCGCGGCGTTCGGACGGTCGGTCGGGACGGTCGGCCGGACAGTCGGGTCGTGGCCGAGTCGGAACGGTCGTGGCCGGATGATTTACGGTCGGCCGGCGTGGTCGGACGGATGGAATTGGCCGATGGTTTCTCGGCCGGACGTGGGACGTTCTTCCCGGCTCGGACGGACATCGGCCGTGGTACGTGAGTAGGTTGCGCGGCCGCGAGGCTTTGCTTCCCGGCTCGCGCGGCATGGTCGTGCGCGGCGTGGCGTGAAGGTTGTGGCTTGGCCGACCGCGGGATGTTTCCCGGGTCGTGACGTGATCGGCCGGATTGGACTTTGGCCGAGACTTCAGTCGGACGGATATGGTTTTGGCCGAGCGCGGAACATCGTTCCTCGGCCAGCCGGCTGTGCGGTTCGGGCGCTGATTCTCGATAGAGCGTCTGGAGCAGTCTTCACTCTTTTGGCTATAACTCCTTTTCTACTCATCCAAATGAGGCCGTTCCAGTTGCGTTGGAAAGTTAACTCAATCAGAGCACGCAGGGAACTGGTCTTGATGAAATCCATTGAGTAGATCTTTTTCTAGCTCCATCCAAAGTTGATGCAGGGCATTGAACTGGTTTAGAGTCCAAATCTCTGTTTTGCTCCATAATGCACCTTTTTACCTAAAATGACTCTTTGCACTATAAATCCATAAAAACTACCTTTTAACACAAGAATCCACTAGAAAACCATTAGAAAACCATAGTAAAATAGCATAAAAAGCATGTAAAATAGAGGTATATCAGTCATGTGATGTACTTGCATTTTACATAGTTTTAGTACATCTTTTATGCATCTTTTGCATAGTTTTAGCATCCATTAGCATCATATCTTGTTCCTTTTCTCTCTTTATGCATTCATGGTAGTTTTAGGTTGCATTTGCATACATATGCATGTTTGGTCCTTTGAAATAGGTCTTTTGGAGCATTTGGAGCATATGGGACGTGAGGAGCAAGGAAGGACTTGATGCATGGACGCAGCTCAACTGGACACGCAAAGGAAGAAGGAGGAAGCCACCTTGAAGACCAGCTCGACCACCTACTCGACCACCGGTCGAGTTCCTCAACTCGACCGGCCAAGTTCAACTCGATCGAGCTGAGAAGTCAAAGTCAAACCCGAAAAATGTTGCTTCCCCCTTGACTTCCTTTGACCCTAAACCTAAATCCTCTTGTATTTAAAGGCTAAAAGCCACGAAAAAACCACCAAGCTTTAGATTACTTTTGTTTTAGCTTTTCTTTAATTTATTGTCTTTTACTTTTTAGAACTCTTAATCCAATCTTTGTGTTCTTGAAGCTCTTGCTTCTTGAATCCTAGATCCTGGATTATTGCTTTGTATTTGCACTTTGCTATTTCAATAAAAGTTGTTCATCTTTATCTCCTCTTTCATTTGATGTTTTCATTGCATTTGCTTGTGTTTACATTCATGTGTAGTGAGTAGTTACCCATTAGGGTTTGAGATGGGATAGATTAGGGGTTTCATATGCTTAATCCTTCTTGCTTATGGTCTTAATCTAGATTCTCTCTCTTTTGGATAAATCTGAGAATCTAGATTAAGACCATAAGAAAGAGGAGATAAAGATAAACAACTTTTATTGAAATAAGCAAAGTGCAAATACAAAGAGATAATCCAGGATCTAGGATTCAAGAAGCAAGAGCTTCAAGAACACAAAGATGGATTAGAGTTCTAAAAAGTAAAAGACAATAAATTAAAAGAAGCTAAAACAAAAGTAATCTAAAGCTTGGTGGTTTTTTCGTGGCTTTTAGCCTTTAAATACAAGAGGATTTAGGTTTAGGGTCAAAGGAAAGTCAAGGGGGAAGCAACATTTTTCGGGTTTGACTTTGACTTCTCAGCTCGATCGAGTTGAAGCTTGGCCGGTCGAGTAGGTGGTCGAGCTGGTCTTCAAGATGGCTTCCTCCTTCTTCCTTTGCGTGTCCAGTTGAGCTGCGTCCATGCACCAAGTCCTTCCTTGCTCCTCACGTCCCATATGCTCCAAATGCTCCAAAAGACCTATTTCAAAGGACCAAACATGCATATGTATGCAAATGCAACCTAAAACTACATGAATGCATAAGAAGAGAAAAGGAACAAGATATGATGCTAATGGATGCTAAAACTATGCAAAAGATGCATAAAAGATGTACTAAAACTATGTAAAATGCAAGTACATCAACACCCCCAAACTTGACCTTTGCTTGCCCTCAAGCAAACAAATAGAACAAGAAAGAGATGAGGTTTGAAAACAAGTTGATTCAACACTTAAAAACATGTCCTCAAAAGCGATTTGCTAAATGTCCAACTTAGAGATTCTAGAATGCAACAAGGTGAGAGATATTCATTAAGATTTTAACCATGCTTATTGATGGAGAGGCGGAAGCTAGATAAAGAAGACACACAAGATATCAAAGAGATCTGTGTGTATTCGGGTTGAAATAAACGTAGGAGATCTACGTTTAAATCGATAGAGATGGGAATACTCTTCCCCGTGCTATGAAAGCTCGTTAGAGTTTGGGAATACTCTTCCCCGTGCTATGGAAAGCTCGTTTAGCTACAAAAGCTTAAAGTTTATTCAATATCAAAGTTATCTTTACAAAGCTAAAGAACACGCTATTTATATGAACATAAGAAGATCCTAATAGTATCTCTACATCCTAATCTATAAGGAATTATAATTATCTTTAAATAAGAGAATCCTAACAATAAATCTAAGCAAATATATAATTGACAAACACGTAAAGCCCAATAGACGTGTTTGTCGTCAAAAGGCCAAATCCATAGGATGCGCTGCATCAGTCCCTCCGGGTTAGAAAAGATTCGTCCCTGAATCTTGAAAATACTTTGGTGACAAACTGAAACTGTTCTCACAGAGACGCCGTTGCAACCGAGTTGAATCACACTTGTCCAAACCAAAACAACAAACAACCGTTTGCTTGACGCGCAAGTAATGTGACTCCAAGAAATAGCTGTGGCAGATGTGAACTTGGAACTCAAATGTGGGCAACAGACATTTCGTTTTCGCCGCTTAGAAACTTCACGACTGCACGTAATGGACAAGGTCGGGAAAGTCTGCACCGAATCGGTGGTGAACGGAACGAGACGAAACACGTCAGCAGTGGGAGCCCACGGTGCCCAGAAGAACTTAAACGCCTCCTTGCCAGTGAGATCAAAAGTCAGAAAAGAAACAAAAATAGTCACCAAGCGCCAAGACAAAAATGGCAAAACGAGTAGTGTTACACCCTCATGCTCCACGTCGTTCAAATCCATGAAAAGGCTAACATAAGAGATCAAACCATGGAATACCACACTCCAAATGACACTGAACGTGCGGTCCTCCATATCCGGAAAAGAAAGCTTACGTTGTACGTTATCGGAGATATGGTGGTGTTGAGACTTCAAGTCATAGAACAAACAGACACAAGTAGCATCGTTATCAAATAAATCCATTATGGCATGCAAACCAATAATCTTCTTTCGATGTAGACTTTCACAAAACTGATCCCATTGTCTCCTCAATCTGATAAACTCTTCTTTGTGTGACGCTAAAAGAATATCAAGCTTGCTTAATACGCAAGTAACGTGCCTCCAACAAAATGTGACGCCTCGAAGGACACCGAGCTGGCACTCTTCTCTGTCCAAGAAAAGACCTTGGTGTAAGTAACCAAAATCTTGGTCTTGGTGAGATACCGAGTCCTCAATCAAAGCATCGCAAATGATAACTTTGTCAAAGACAGCAATTGCGGCAGTCACAACACGCTTAAAAATCAGACGCATGAGTACATCCCATGTAGTAAAACGTGCTCCGCTCTGTTCTGTGATACGCATCTCCTCCAAGTAGACATGGTCTGTTACGGAATTTGTCAAAGACAAAGAAAACCTCCAATAAATGATCTGCACAGATCCGTTGCCACCGACAGTGTCATTGAACGACCCACTGCTTCTCATATCAATTTCCATCCAAAGAAACTCCAAGAGTAAAAAATTCTCATGGCTAAATTTGGCACTGGAGTTTATCTCACGCCGACTTGGCTTAAAGCTAAATGAACCACTCCAAGATAGTGAACCCGAAGATGTGCTCTGTGATGCATAAAGCATGCCATGAGAGTAGTTGTTGCTCCTCAGACGCAATTGGCGAGCCTCACTTTTAATATTCTCTTGGTGTAGACCTTCACTCATCTGATGCCACTGCCTCCTTAGTCCTACTAACTCTCCCTTGTCCTTATCGCGAAACTGGAGCCAAGAAGGTAAGAGCTTCTCTTGTTTTTCTGTGTGGACTTTTGCTTCGTTGACCAAGCTATTAAGACACGTAGAACAACAACTTTGACCATAGCTTATTGTTTCTTCTTTCTCCGCTTCATTATAACCAGAAAAAGACGTTGTATCAACATTACCAAATTTCCTTGCCTCATGTCCACGTGGTGTATGAAGAATAAATCCAAAAATTAGCAAACGAAGGAACGAAGAAAAGATGAAAACCCTCCAATTCTTCGCGTGAAAAGTTTCTTCTCGGACATGGCTTGTATGACGGAAACAAAGTTATTTCCATTACCCAAACCCTTCTGATTATAAAATAATCATCGTCGGCAATGAACTTCCCACATACTTCGTCTAGTTAAGTCAAATGACTATCATACAAAGAAATTGCATTGATTCCACCATCGTTAATGTTGTTGATAATCTCTGAAACGCTAAGCAATTCTTGAACAGAGACTTGAGTCTTCCCAAGCTTGTATGCAGAATAAGCACATCTCCAGACCGATAGTCTCCCATTGTAAACATCACAGATGGGCTCTTCAATAGATATAGCAACAACCAGATCAAAAGGAGAAGCAGAACAGAACACCACCAGCCCATAGAGAACATTAAGAAAATAAAAACTTTGGGTTTCTATTGCTGATTTTGAGGTGAGGTCAAAACATATCTCTTGCTGCAAGTGATTCATAACATTAAAAATGTCCATGTAAGCAAGATCGAAATGCTCTTTCTTCTGAGACTTAAACAGCTTCTCGAATTGTAACTCCTCAAGAAAACATGTTGCAGGCCATTGGTCATACTCAGCTTCTAGACGTCCCTTAAAAGCTCCAAGTTTCAATCCAAATTGAGACGACACGGTAGAGAAGAATAACACATGCCTGATTTTGCGTGTGTGGATAACAAACACCAACGTCATGAGAACCCACGGTGGCCACACCAAAGGAGATCGCTCTCCGTAAGCGAGTATGTAGACCACATGATCGCCGAAGCTAGACACCAGACATTGAGCAAAAGAGACCAAACAAGTCTTACCGTGTATTCTCACCAGCTGCAATTCACCAATGCGCACTGGAAACCCCACGTAAAATAGCACACTAGCCCACTTAGAATATTGGAAACACCGCACGTCAAGATATACGGTAGAAACGAATCCAAAATGTTGACATGCTTTTCTTCCGTCACAAGTCTCTTTAATCACCGCTTCAAATGTAGCTTGAAAAATTCGTTTGAAAATACCGATCCTATCATACTTCTGCACACGCTCACATGATAGTAGCATTATTATTATGCTAACTCGAACACAGAAATCCGTCGGCCTCTTATTTGAAGACAAAGTTTCAACAGTGAAGAAATCCTTGCTTGGTATTATATCTTGTGGAAGAACTCGATCACAATCAGATGGCTCAAATTTTTTACCGTAGAAAACCACAACTGGATCAGCATAGGGGGCTTTATAACTCTCGGCATTACAAGCTTGAATCTCATCATGATCTACATCAATATAGCTGTTAAAAGTCGTTGGAACACAGACCTGTTTGGAGAGATCAATATAGTGTTTTGCTGTGACGCTTAAGAGGCTCATAAATTCCAATGAAACAGATGTCTTTTTTATGGAACATGTTATTGGCCGAATCTTTATCAGTCATGACATCAAAAACTAGATTTGCATCATTGCCGTCATCGCAAATCAGAATTGCACCATCACCAACGCCAACGATCGGAATTGTTTCATCATAGACATCGAAGATTGGATTTTCCTCATCGCAAATTATATAACCATCACAAGCGTCGGATATCGAATTAGTGTCATCATGAACATCGCCTTCATCATCGAAAAATACTTCATCTCGTGGAGGTAAAACATGTGATTGTTGGAGTAGTTGTAGAACAGGTTCCATGGACAGTCGTAACTTGTCGCATAGATCTTGTTCAAACCTCGCCAGAATTTCTCGCAAGGCTATAGCTTGCTCATCACTTTGTTGTTGCAGATTCTTTTTCGGTGCCATTATATAGGACCGTTTTGTCTCTGATACCAACTGATGGAGAGGCGGAAGCTAGATAAAGAAGACACACAAGATATCAAAGAGATCTGTGTGTATTCGGGTTGAAATAAACGTAGGAGATCTACGTTTAAATCGATAGAGATGGGAATACTCTTTCCCGTGCTATGAAAGCTCGTTAGAGTTTGGGAATACTCTTCCCCGTGCTATGGAAAGCTCGTTTAGCTACAAAAGCTTAAAGTTTATTCAATATCAAAGTTATCTTTACAAAGCTAAAGAACACGCTATTTATATGAACATAAGAAGATCCTAATAGTATCTCTACATCCTAATCTATAAGGAATTATAATTATCTTTAAATAAAAGAATCCTAACAATAAATCTAAGCAAATATATACTTGACAAACACGTAAAGCCCAATAGACGTGTTTGTCGTCAAAAGGCCAAATCCATAGGATGCGCTGCATCACTTATCAACATCAATCCCACTTCACAGTCACTCAAACAATGCATTCAAATCAGCAAATCCCTTTAACATTCATTAAGCAAAAACAGTGAACCAAAAACATGCAAGATCAATCAACTCATTTGGTTTCAAGGGTTTATGGGTTAAGAGACAAAGAGGGTCTCTTTTGTATGGTGGTTTAGTAACAGGGATCTCTCAAGAAAGTGGCTTTGCTTTGGCAGAAGGCTAAGTGTTAGAACCAAAGATGATGCAAGAACAGCAGCTCGAGCCGCCTAATCCTAACTCGATCGAGTTCAACACTTAGAGCTTTTTAGAACAAAATCCTAACTACCCTTTTTGGCATTTCGCCTTTGAAACTGAGGAGCTTTGCTCACTTTTCTTTTAAGAACTTCCTAGGGAGAGGCTTCTTGAGGTAACATCTAGCGGTTTGGGATTTTCTAAACACTTAGGGAACTTTTCTTTTCTTTTTGTCACTTGAGGCTTTGGACTTTACTAAACTCTTTTCTTTTGGATTTTCCCAACTTTTACCACTTTTCTGGTTTTTGACACCCAACTCGATCGAGCTCGAGTTGGCACCCCCAAACTTAGCCTGAAAACAATCCCAAGAGAACTAGACAACTAGAACTACTGCCCCTGCCGGTTTAAACACAACACCTTATGCTAAGCAAAGCCAAGAAAGGTTCTCACAATCGCACAAGAGATAATATGGGGTTTGAAATGAAAAAGGCTTAGGTTTAAGGTGTGGTAACTGTCTCAAAGATGGAGATCAGCTATCTGGACAAGCAAAGGGATATGAAAATAGGTAAAGAATGTCCAGATATGTATGTGGTAGCCATGAGTTGAAATCAAATGCAAGCATTGGTAATTAAAGATCAAGTTATGGTTCAAATAGATAGGGAAATGCATCAAATCACAGCAATGGTTGAATGAGATGTGCATGCAGTGATATGATCAAGATAAACATGGTTCTTGCTGCTCAATCAATCTCACCCTAATGCACAAAAGAATCTAAAAACAGGGCACTCAAGAAATCGCAAAATGATGGACAAGTTTTCAAAGTCAAATCAACAATGCAAGTGAAAATGCAATCCTAAACAAGTCTAACAAATATGAATGCAAAAAGATGAAAATATTTTTGGATTTTTTGAAAATTTTATGATTTTTTTGGTTTTTCTATGCAAAAGATGAATGAAAAACTAAGAACAAAGAAAACAAGGTTAAATCATCTCTTGAACCCTCCCCCAAACTTAAATCACACAGTCCCTTGTGTGAGAAAATTTAGTGAAAGATTCAAGAGGGCAAAACCAAGAAAAAAAAAACAAATGCAAGAAAATATGAAATGGTATATACAAGGGTTGGTGTTTGATACCTCAGTGCCCCCCAAAGAACTGGGAGGCAAGGTCGTGGTCTGGAGAGGGAGACGGCCATCAGGACACTCCACTCGACTGGGTTCACCTCGCTCGATCGAGCTTGCTCTTGGCTCGATCGAGTTGTGCCTCGAGTTGGCCTCTTCTTCCTAAAACCTGCTCCTGCAAGACTTAGCCAAAAAACAGAGATAAAAGATAAAAGCATATGTACAAGATAGACATGGGAATTCCTCCCAAGTGAGCTTGTTTTAGGTCTCATAGCTTGACCTTACCTTTTAGGCCGGGGTTGGATCTTCTAGAGGAGTGATGATCTCCTCTGTGGGGGTCATTCCTAGATATGGCTTGCATCTATGCCCATTCACTGTGAATTCCTTCCCCTCTTGATTGAGCAGTGAGGGATCCATAGGGTAGAACTTCGTGAATCTTGAATGGTCCCGCCCACTTTGACCTCAGCTTCCCGGGAAACAACCTCAACTTGAAGTTAAGGCGAATCAGTTTGTCGTGGGCTGCCTTGGTTCTCATCTTATAAATCATGGAGTTCTCATAGGCATTCATTCTGATTTCCTCCAACTCAAACAAGTTCATTACCTCCTTTCTTGTGCTGCCTTTATATCAAAGTTCAGCATCTTTACTGCCCATAAAGCCTTGTATTCGACCTCCACAGGTAAGTGGCAATCCTTTCCATACAGCAAAGTTGAAAGGAGACCTTCCAATGGGGGTTTTGTAAGCTGTTCTATAAGCCCAAAGTGCCTCATCAAGCCTTGCTGCCCAATCCTTTCCTAGTGAAGCTCACAGTCTTCTCCAATATGGCCTTATCTGTCTGTTGGAGACTTCAACTTGCCCACTGGTTTGAGGGTGATAGGCGTGGCGACCTTGTGCTTGACTCCATAACTCTTCATCAACTTCTCAAACACCTTGTTGATGAAATGGGAACCTCCATCCGAAATAACAACCCTTGGGATGCCATATCTTGGAAAGATGATGGTTCTGAACAGTTTGATAACAACCTTAGCATCACAGGTTGGGCAGGGAATGGCTTCAATCCATTTGGACACATAGTCCACAGCAACCAAAATGTAGTTGTGCCCGTTTGAGGAAGGTTTGAAAGGTCCCATGAAGTCTATTCCCCATACATCAAAGATCTCAACCTCTAGAATTGGGTTTAGTGGCATTTCATCCCTCTTGGTGATCCTCCTTTCCTTTGGCATGGATCACACTTGGCAATGTAACTTGCTGCATCCTTAAACAAAGTAGGCCACCATAAACCAGATTGCAAAACCTTAGTTGCTGTTTTGAATGTAGCAAAGTGACCTCCATAAGCTGACCCATGGCAATGCTCTAGAACTCCTTGTACATCCTCTTCAGCTATGCATCTCCTGTAAATGCTGTCTGGTCCTCTCTTGTACAAGTAAGGCTCATCCCAATAGTAATGCCTAGCATCCTTGAAGAATTTCTTCCTCTTGTAAGCATCAAAACTACTAGGGACTTCTCCGGACACCATGAAGTTCACTATATCAGCATACCATGGCAAATTCTCATCACGCAGAGCCTTAACTTCTTCCAGCCTGACTTTCTCATCAAAACTCTTTCAAGATCATGATTGCCATAAGCTGTTCTTCAGGCATAGAATCATTGATGGGGATCATGTCTTCAACTCGCATCCTAGAGAGATGATCAGCAACTCCATTCTCTACTCCCTTTTTGTCCACAACTTCTATGTCAAACTCTTGAAGCAAAAGGATCCATCTGAGAAGTCTTGGCTTTGTATCTTTCTTAGCAAAGATGTGCCTAAGGGCAGCATGGTCAGTGTGCACAATCACCTTGGACCCAACTATATAGCTTCGAAACTTCTCAAAGGCAAAGACTATGGCAAGGAGCTCCTTCTCTGTGGTTGCATACTTGCACTGAGCATCATCCATAGTCTTGCTTGCATAGTAGATGACATTGAGTTTCTTGTCTATCTTTTGGCCAAGCACTGCTCCTACTGCATAGTCAGATGCATCACACATAATCTCAAATGGGTGATCCCAGTTTGGAGCTTGAACTATTGGGCAGATACCAGAGCATCCTTCAGCAAGGTCCAAGACTTGTGGCATTCTTCATCAAACTCAAAATCTGTCTCCTTGCACAGAAGCCTTGTCAAGGGTCTTGCTATCTTTGAGAAATCCTTGATGAATCTTCTGTAGAACCCTGCATGACCCAGAAAACTCCTTATGTCCTTCACAGTCTTGGGAACAGGGAGCTGCAACATGACATCCACCTTAGCTCGATCGAGCTCGATCCCTTTCTCGGAAATCTTGTGTCCAAGCACAATCCCTTCTCGAACCATGAAGTGGCACTTCTCCCAGTTGAGTACTAGATTGGTCTCCTCACACCTCTGCAACACCCTGCACAAGTTAGACAAACATGAGGAGAAGGATGCTCCATAGACTGAGAAATCGTCCATGAAGACTTCTACCATCTCCTCTATCAGATCTGAAAAAATGGAGGTCATGCACCTCTGGAAAGTAGCTGGAGCATTGCACAGCCCAAATGGCATCCTTCGATAAGCAAAGGTGCCATAAGGGCATGTGAAAGTGGTCTTCTCCTGATCATTAGGGTGGATCGGGATTTGGAAGAAACCACTGTAGCCATCAAGAAAACAATAAAAGGGTGGTTTGCCAATCTTTCTAACATCTGATCAATGAAAGGGAGAGGGAAATGATCCTTTCTAGATGCTGAATTTAGCTTCCTATAGTCAATACACATGCGATGCCCCACTATTGTTCTAGTGGGAATCAGCTCCTCTTTGTCGTTTTTAATGACAGTGATCCCCCCTTTCTTTGGGACGCAATGAACTGGAGATATCCAAGTGCTATCACTGATGGGATAGATTATCCCAGCATCAAGCAACTTGAGTATCTCTTTCTTCACTACTTCCTTTAGATTGGGGTTCAATCTCCTTTGAGGTTCAATGCTTGACTTACTTTCATCCTCTAGATGAATCCTATGGATGCATAGGTCAGGGGAGATCCCCTTGATATCATCTAGAGTGTAACCTATTGCTTTTCTGTACTTCCTCAATTCAACAAGCAAAGCACTCAACTGTTCAGGTTCCAAATCAGAGTTCACAATGACAGGGTAAGTTGAGTTTTCACCCAGAAATGCATACCTGAGGCCCTCAGGCAAAGGTTTGAGGTCGACTTTAGGTGCCTTGAGCTCAGACCAATCTCCTTGAGCTTGCTCCTTGCATTCAGTCCCCAGCTCGATCGAGTTCGTTTGTTCGAGGCTCGACTCGATCGAGTTCTTGATCGAGCTCACTGCCATGACTTCGCAAACTGGCCTGTCCAACCCCTCAATGCTCAGAATGTTTGGAACTGGTCTGAAGGTGTCAAGGAGCTTCTTGTACCATCGGTTTCTGAGCTCACATATCCTTCTGAAGAATCCTTGGTCAAAGCAACTTGTAGGGATCCTCCAATGATAGCTCTTCTAAAAGCTCATCTGCCAACTGATCCATTTCCTCAACATAAAAGAGCTGACCTTCTATTGTTGGTTTCCTCATTGTATCCTTGATGTCAAACTTCATCTTAGGTCCTTTCCCAAGTTTAGCTCAATTGTTCCTTCACAGACATCTATCATTGCTCTTGCTGTAGCTAGGAATGGCCTTCCTAGTATCAATGGATCTGTTGGTTCCTCATCCATCTCAAGCACAATGAAGTCGGTGGGGATTTCTACATTCCCTATCCTCAAAGGCAGGTCTTCAAGCATTCCAGTTGGTAACCTTATCGATCTATCTGCCAAGACTAGTGAGATTCCGCAGGCTTGATACTTGTGATATCCCAGTCTCTTTGCTACAGACAAAGGCATGAGGCTGACAGATGATCCTAGATCGCAGAGGCTGTTTTTGAAAGATAGGGGTCCCAACATGCAGGCAAAGTGAAACTCCCCGGATCTTCCTTTTTGTCGGAGATGACCTTCCGCTGAATGATTGCACTGCACTCACGAGTCAACACTACCATCCCTTGTGCTTCCCTGGTTCTTTGCTGAACAGCATCCTTCAGAAATTTCTGATAAGGTGGAATGAGCATCAAGGCATCGATGAAAGGCAACTTCAGCTCAAGTGTCTCATTAGTTCATCAAACTTGGCCTTGTGTGCTTCCAACAGTTGTTTCTTGAACCTTCCTGGAAAGGGTAGAGGGGGTTTGTATGGTGGTGGTCCTGCTGGAGTGTCTTTCTTCTTTGCAACAGGTTTAGCTGGTTGGCTGGAGTTTGCTTTGTCTGTTCGCTTCTCTGCTCGATCGAGCTCTGGTTTGTCTTGCAGTCTCGGTTTCTCAGCTCGATCGAGTTCTGGTTCAGGGTTTTGTTCCAGCTCGATCGAGTTCGGTGCGGGATATCAGCATACTCGACTAAATCCTCCCCTTCCTCGTCATCGATGTCCACAGCGATTTGGGGTGGGCTACCTCTACTTGGAATTGTCCCACTTCTTAGTGTAACTGCTTGGGCATACTCTTGTGGTGAAGAGGATGATGCACTTGAAGACTCAATGATTTGGACTCTTGAAGTCAATGACTCTAGTTTAGAGTTATCTCAACCAGCTTGTTGTTCATTTCCAGAGAACCTTTGGCTTGCCCTTGTAAAAGTTGTTGGAGCATTTCCTTCATATCCCAATCTTGAGTTGGTTGGGTATGAGTAGTCCTTGGGAAGCCTTGTGGAACACTTGTTGTTGGTGCGGCCAGGGGGCTTGGATAATTGTTGTATGTCTTGTTGAGGATTCCTATAGCTTCCTTGTCTATTTTGAATGTAGCAAACCTCTTGTGTTGTCTCCTCCCCTTCCTGGTCCTTGACTAGAGTTTGTTCTGAGACATAGTTGACATGCTTGGCAGGGAATTGGGCTAGGATCAGTTTGTCCAACTTCGAGTTGAGTGCAAGCATGTCTTTTCTCATCTGTGCTCCAGCTCGATCGAGTGCGCGGTCGAGCTCCAGTCTGTACTTTCATATGTTCTCCATAGCATTCTGTTGATATGGCCATGTTCTCCACAAGTTGCCAGCCATCATCTACATCCTGGTTGAGGAAGTTCCCATTGCTAGCTGTGTCTAGCATCTCCCTATACCTAGGCAAGCATCCTCTATAAAGAGTGGAGAGTAGTGATTCATTGTTGAATCCATGGTGTGGGCACTGACTTGTGTAGCCTTTGAACCTCTCCCAAGCCTCTGCGAATGTCTCATTGTTCGCTGGATGAAGCTGGATATCTCTCCTCTAAGCTTGGCTGTGCGACCGGTGGAGAAAAACTTAGCAAGAAAGGCCTTCTTGCATTCATCCCAAGTGGTGATTGTGCCATGGGGCAAGCTCTTCTCCCATTGGTGAGCTTTGTCAGCTAGAGACATAGGAAAGAGTCTCAGCTTGATGGCATCTTCAGAGACACCATTGATCTTTGTCAAATCACAAAGCCTATCAAACTCATCAAGGTGGTCAATGGGGTCTTCACTTGGCAATCCATGGAACATCTTGTTCTGACAAGGTTGATCATTCCCAGCTTGATCTCAAAGTTGTGGTTCTGCACTGGTGGTGGAACAATCCCTTGTCTCTGTTGGTGGCGGTTTGGAGCATCTCCTTGACCAATCGGTCGAGTTTGCCTAGCTCGACCGAGTCCATTCCCAAAGGGTTTCCATTCCCCTCTGGTACATCCATTGTATCAGCAACAAGCACCTCAGGTTCCTCTTGTACCCTCTGTGACCTCTGAACCCTCTTTCTACCCGTTGTGAAGTCTAGCTCGACCAAGTCTTGTAGACCGACTCGATCGAGTTCGCATACACCTGCAAAAAGAGACAAAAACCCAGCAGTACAATAGAACAGGGGTGGTATAGCTTGATCGTCCAAGTGTATTTGAAACTCAAATGCAACAAAAATACCCAAATCGGCAACGGCGCCAAATTGATGATAGGATTTGTGTGTGGTGTGAAAGATATGAATGAAATGTGGTGGAATGCAACAGTGGATATAAGATGAGGTGGTAAGATGCAAACACAATCACAGTCAACAATTCCCTTTAACCATATAGTCATTATAGCATAAAGGTTATCAATCCAAAATGGGAAGTTGTCACTCTATGAGAATATGAAACAACCAGGAAGTCAAGCAAGCATAAAGATATGGTAACACTAACAACCTAATGAAGCAGTAAAGCAATGCAGTAAGTAAATAAAGCAGAAGAGCAACAGCTCGACCAAGGACTCGAGTCGAGTGGGAACAGTACCGAGCTCGATCGAGTTTAGGGTCGAGTTGAAAGTAAAAAGCAATAAAGGCAGTGATGCGATCATGGACGAGGAGGTTCAGGAAAAGCAGCTTTTGGCCGAGGAAGAAGATGGAATGGAGCAGCTTGTAGCCGAGGAGGGACTTGAAGCCGCGCAGCTTGAACTTGAGGAGAGCATAGCCATTCCAACTGGCCCCATTACTCGTTCACAAACTAAGGCACTAAACCAAGAGATTGGCAAAGTCCTTAGCTGTTTGAGTCAGCAAGAAACCAAGCCAACTACTCTAGTTTGCTTGAAGGCCTTACCAATGGGATAAAGAGACAAGTGTGTTGTGGTGTGCTCTTTTTCCCTTGTCAAGTTTTGTCCCTTTGGGTTTTCTTGACAAGGTTTTTAACGAGGCCCATAGCACACTTTCAAATCATCTCTTTTCTCATTTGTGAAGGTCCGGCCCAAGTATTTGAAAGAGAGCGCCAAGGCAATCGAAGGGTCGTTTTTACTCAGTCTTTGTTCATTATTGTTTTGTGTGTTTTCTAGATGATTGGAGCTTGTTCCAATCATCCCTCTCTCTCTCTCTCGTTTCTCTTTAAAACCCTAGTCCTTTCTCTCTTTGAAACTTATCAATCATTTTAAATCAAAAACCTCTCTTTTATGTTTGATCACTCATCTGTTCACTTGTTGTGCGTAATATCAACTAAGTCCACAGATTTCTCTTTCACTTGTTGTGTGTAATATCAACAAGTCGAAGGTGGTGTTAGAGTTCCAATTCCGCGGGTCCTCTAGTATAGCCACTCGATCCTTTGTGTTCCAATCCGCTCAAACACTTAGCTTTCAAGCCGATCTATTCCGGGGGCGTATCAGGTGGTATCAGAGCCCCTTGAAGCTAAGTGATCTCAACTTTTATGATTTTGACTGTTCATCTTCTGAATCTGAGAATCGTAGATCTTGAGTATGATTTTGCTTTGCTGTTGTGTTATTGATCGTTTCTTTGTTTCCATTATCATTACCTTCACTTCCAATGCTTGTTTGCTCATCAAGATTACCTTTCGATCATCGTGAAACCATTTGTTCTTCATCCATCACTTGTTTCATCATCCATTTGATCATCTCCAACCGTCACTGCATTTTTAATTTATTTCGTAATTTTTTTTAAATTTTGTCACAATTTATTCTGATCATTCTTGCGTAGATCTATCATCTCTGGTTGTTTGCATAATTTTAGAAATTGTTTCTATAATTTTTAAAATTATTTGCAACCTATTTCCGTTGAACTTGTGATGGAGAACTTAGGCGGCTACAAGATGAAGATTCCACCGTTCCATGGCCGGAACAATCCAGACGAGTATATGGACTGGGAAAAGAAGTGCGAATTCAATTTCAACTTCACAACATCATTGGCGTCAACCGTGTCAAGCTGGCCGTATCAGAATTCAACGATTATGCGCTAAGATGGTGGGAGCAAATCATTTTGGCTCGCGAGATAGGTGGTGCCTTTGAGATCACCACTTGGGAAGAGATGAAGCGCATCATGAGGCAACGATTTGTCCCTGGCCATTACCAACGTGAGCTACACTCCAAGCTCAGGAAGCTTACTCAGGGTTCCAAGTCTGTGGAAGAGTATTATCAAGAAATGGAGGTTATGCTCTTGCGCGCCAATGTGATGAAGACCGCGAGGCCACTATGTCTCGATTCCTTGGAGGTTTGAACCGTGAGATACAAGACATCGTGGAGATGCAAAATTGTGTGGCTATAGAGTCCATGCTTCCACAAAGCTGTCTTGGCCGAGACACAATTGAAGAGGAGAAGCTCCACTCGGTTTCAATCAGAGCCGCGCAGACCAACCTTCAGCCGCGACCAAGTCCTTTCGCGCCAAGTCAGAAACCAAACCTCTGGCTACTAATCAAGACAGAGCCGGACCGAGCGCACTCCACCAGCCAGAACCCGTGATCTCAAGTGCTTTAGGTGTCAAGGGTTTGGGCATTATGCCTCTGATTGCTTGAACAAGAAAGTGATGATCATCCGCGCCAATGGAGAGATTGAGTCCGAGGAGGATCCAGAACCGGAGAAACCAGAGAAGAAGAAGAACCTGAGGAGTATGAGGCTGTGCCTGTCCAAGGCAAACTTCTGGTAGCCAGGCGTGTCTTGAGTACTCAAGTCAGACTGATAAGGATGAGCAGCGCGAGAACCTCTTTCACACTCGATGCTTAGTCCAAGACAAGGTGTGCAGCTTGATATCGATGGAGGAAGCTGTACCAATGTGGCGAGTGAAACTATGGTTGAGAAGTTGGGACTCATTACCAAGAAGCATCCACGGCCTTATCAGCTTAACTGGCTGAATGAAACTGGAGAGATGAGTGTCAAGAACCAAGTGGTTGTGCCTTTGTCTATTGGCAACTACAAGGATGAGATCCTTTGTGACATTCTGCCTATGGACGCCGGTCACATCATCTTAGGGCGACCTTGGCAATCTGATAGACGTGTGATCCATGATGGATTCACAAACCGCTACACTCTTCTTCATGAGGGCCGTAAAACCACTTTGATTCCTTTGAGTCCACAAGAAGTCTATGAAGATCAGTTACAACTTGCTGGAAAAGAAGTCAAGCCACCTAAGCCAAAGAACTTCCTGGTGAAGCCAAAACAGGTTAAACGTTCCTTGAACTTAAACAAACCTTTCTCTTATTTATATATAAGGAACACTTGATTGGCTTGACTCACACTCCACCGGAGATTCCGAGTGAACTAGCTCAACTTTTGCAGGACTTTAGCGATGTGTTTCCAGATGATAGTCCACCAGGCTTGCCTCCTGTCCGAGGTATTGAGCACCAGATTGATTTTGTCCCCGGCTCCACTTTACCAAACAGGCCGGCATACAGAACCAATCCGGTTGAGACCAAGGAGCTTCAGCGCCAAGTGGATGAACTCATGGAGAAAGGCCACATTAGAGAGAGCATGAGTCCCTGTGCTGTTCCTGTTCTTCTTGTTCCTAAGAAGGATGGAAGCTGGAGGATGTGTGTCGACTGCCGCGCCATCAATAACATCACTGTAAAGTATCGACACCCTATCCCTAGACTTGATGACATGTTAGATGAGTTACATGGCTCTTGCATCTTCTCTAAGATTGATCTTAAGAGTGGTTATCACCAAATCCGGATGAAGGAAGGTGATGAGTGGAAAACCGCCTTTAAAACCAAGCATGGTCTATATGAGTGGCTTGTGATGCCATTTGGCTTGACCAATGCGCCAAGTACTTTCATGCGGTTGATGAATCATGTTCTTAGGTCTTTCATTGGTCATTTTGTGGTTGTTTATTTTGATGATATCTGATCTATAGCAGGACCTTTGATGATCATCTTAAGCATCTTGCCGCGGTCATGAAAGTTCTTAGGGAGGAGAAGCTGTTCGCCAACTTTAAGAAATGCACTTTTTGTACAACTAATGTGGTGTTTCTAGGTTTTGTGGTGAGTGCAGATGGCGTACAGGTTGATGAAGAGAAGGTCGCAGCTATCCGGGATTGGCCTAGTCCTAAGACCGTTGGAGAGGTCAGAAGCTTTCATGGCTTGGCCGGATTCTATCGGCGGTTTGTTAAGGATTTTAGCACCATAGCCGCGCCAATGACTGAGATTATCAAGAAGGAAGTTGGATTCAAGTGGGAGAAGGCACAGGAGGAAGCATTTCAGACTCTTAAGGATCGACTTACTAATGCACCTGTTCTTATGTTGCCTGACTTTCTTAAAACTTTTGAAATTGAGTGTGATGCCTCAGGAATCGGAATAGGAGCTGTTCTCATGCAAGACAAGAAGCCGATTGCCTACTTCAGTGAGAAACTTGGAGGAGCCACTCTCAATTATCCAACCTATGATAAAGAGCTCTATGCCTGGTCCGAGCCTTGCAAACTTGGCAGCATTACTTATGGCCCAAGGAGTTTGTTATCCATACCTGATCATGAATCACTCAAGCACTTCAAAGGCCAACAGAAGCTCAACAAGAGGCATGCTCGCTGGGCCGAGTTCATAGAAACCTTTCCCTATGTGATCAAGTACAAGAAAGGTAAGGACAATGTCGTGGCCGACGCATTGTCTAGACGGTATACACTTCTCTCTACTCTTGATGCCAAACTCTTAGGCTTTGAGCAAATTAAAGAACTATATGCTTCTGATGCTGATTTTTCTGATATTTATCAAGCATGTTCTAAGTTTGCTTCTGGTCGATATGTGAGACAGGATGGGTTTCTCTTTTATGAGAACCGCCTTTGTGTGCCTAATTGTTCTTTGAGGGACTTGTTTGTCAGGGAAGCACATGGAGGAGGACTTATGGGACATTTTGGAGTTGCAAAGACTATACAGATCATGAGAGATCATTTCCATTGGCCACATATGATTAGAGATGTGGAGCGCATATGTGCTCGCTGCACCACTTGTAAGTTGGCCAAATCCAAGGTCCAACCCCACGGTTTGTATACTCCTCTCCCTATTCCATCACAACCTTGGACTGATGTTTCCATGGACTTTGTTCTTGGTTTACCCAGAACTAGACATGGAAAGGATTCCATTTTTGTGATTGTGGATAGATTTTCTAAGATGGCTCATTTTGTTGCATGCAATAAAACTGATGATGCATCTCATGTTGCTGCATTGTTCTTTAAAGATGTCATTAGATTGCATGGCATGCCGCGCACCATTGTTTCTGATCGTGATACTAAGTTCCTTAGTTACTTTTGGAAAACCTTGTGGTCTAAGTTAGGGACTAAGCTTTTATTTTCCACCACTTGTCATCCCCAAACTGATGGTCAAACTGAGGTTGTAAACCGGACTTTAGGAACCTTGTTGCGTGTGCTGCTTAAAAAGAATCTTAAGAATTGGGATGATTGCTTGCCTCATATAGAATTTGCTTATAATCATTCTGTGCATTCAGCATCTAAGTTCTCTCCTTTTGAAATTGTTTATGGGTTTAAACCCCTGTCACCTTTGGATTTAATGCCTCTGCCTTTGAGTGAAAGATTGAGTGCAGATGGACAGAAGAGAGCTGAGATGGTGAAGAAGATACATGAGCAGGCAAAGAAAAACATTGAGGAAAAGACAAGGCAGTATGCAAGAAGGCCAACAAGGGACGGCGCGAATTAATCTTTGAGGCTGGAGATCAAGTTTGGATTCATCTTCGCAAAGAAAGATTCCCAGCCGAGCGCAAGTCCAAGCTGATGCCGCGCATTGATGGCCCTTTCACAGTCACCAAGCGAATCAACAATAACTCTTATAGAGTTGATCTTCAAGGTAAGTACAATATCAGTCCTAGTTTTAATGTTGCTGACTTATCTCCTTTTCTTGCAGATGAACCAGATTTGAGGTCAAATCCTTTTCAAGAGGGAGGGGATGATGCGATCATGGACAGGAGGTTCAGGAAAAGCAGCTTTTGGCCGAGGAAGAAGATGGAATGGAGCAGCTTGTAGCCGAGGAGGGACTTGAAGCCGAGCAGCTTGTACCTGAGGAGAGCATAGCCATTCCAACTGGCCCAATCACTCGTTCACAAACTAAGGCACTAAACCAAGAATTGGCAAAGTCCTTAGCTGTTTGAGTTAGCAAGAAACCAAGCCAACTACTCTGGTTTCCCTTGTCAAGTTTTTCCCTTTGGGTTTTCTTGACAAGGTTTTTAACGAGGCCCATTGCACACTTCCAAATCATCTCTTTTCTCATTTGTGAAGGTCCGGCCCAAGTATTCAAAGGAGAGCGCCAAGAACGAAGGGTCGTTTTTACTCAGTCTTTGTTTCATTTATGTTTTGTGTGTTTCTAGATGATTGGAGCTTGTTCCAATCATCTCCTCTCTCTCTCTCTCGTTTCCTTTAAAACCCTAGTCCTTTCTCTCTTTGAAACTTATCAATCATTTTAAATCAAAAACCTCTCTTTTATGTTTGATCATCATCTGTTCACTTGTTGTGCGTAATATCAACTAAGTCCACAGATTTCCTTTCACTTGTTGTGTGTAATATCAACAAGTCGAAGGTGGTGTTAGAGTTCCAATTCCGCGGGTCTCTAGTATAGCCACTCGATCCATTCACCATTCCCATTCATCTATCCATCGTTGGTTCCTTTGTGTTCCAATCCGCTCAAACACTTAGCTTTCAAGCCGATCTATTCCAGGGGCGTATCAGGCAGCGACTTTAACAAGCTAATGCGAGAATTAGGGTTCAAGACAGGGTTTTGCAATCAGGGGAATCTACACTTAATCATCTTGCTCTTAAAACTCCTTGTATCAAGGCTTCTCTTGATATTGGGCTTCTCAATGCCTAGCCAACCCTTTCCCAAGGTGGAGGCTATCAACCAAGGAATGATCTCAGAAACAGGGGGTTAGCCAGTGAGAATCAAACCTTGGAGGCCATAGGATCATTGCCCAAACTAATCCATCCAACCCCTAGACTCCATTTCGAGAGCAAGAGATATTGGAGCTCTTAGTGGATCTTTTCCAGCGATTTCCATCACTTCCATGTGGAGAATCGCCTAAGGACATACAAGCCAGGGGTAGTGGTCATGTAGCCTTAAGATTATCCAAAAGAGAGAGAATCTAGATTAAGACCATAAGCAAGAAGGATTAAGCATATGAAACCCTAATCTATCCCATCTCAAACCCTAATGGGTAACTACTCACTACACATGAATGTAAACACAAGCAAATGCAATGAAAAAGACATCAAATGAAAGAGGAGATAAAGATAAACAACTTTTATTGAAATAAGCAAGTGCAAATACAAAGAGATAATCCAGGATCTAGGATTCAAGAAGCAAGAGCTTCAAGAACACAAAGATGGATTAGAGTTCTAAAAAGTAAAAGACAATAATTAAAAAGAAGCTAAAACAAAATAATCTAAAGCTTGGTGGTTTTTTCGTGGCTTTTAGCCTTTAAATACAAGAGGATTTAGGTTTAGGGTCAAAGGAAAGTCAAGGGGGAAGCAACATTTTTCGGGTTTGACTTTGACTTCTCAGCTCGATCGAGTTGAAGCTTGGCCGGTCGAGTTGAGGAACTCGACCGGTTGGTCGAGTAGGAGGTCGAGCTGGTCTTCAAGATGGCTTCCTCCTTCTTCCTTTGCGTGTCCAGTTGAGCTGCGTCCATGCACCAAGTCCTTCCATGCTCCTCACGTCCCATATGCTCCAAATGCTCCAAAAGACCTATTTCAAAGGACCAAACATGCATATGTATGCAAATGCAACCTAAAACTACATGAATGCATAAGAAGAGAAAAGGAACAAGATATGATGCTAATGGATGCTAAAACTATGCAAAAGATGCATAAAAGATGTACTAAAACTATGTAAAATGCAAGTACATCACTAGGCTCATACACACCAGGGATAGTGGTTGTATAGCCTTAAGCTCAGCCCAAAAGAGAGATATTTTAGATTAGGCCTTGATTGGCAAAGCAGTTAGAAGAGCATTAGGCTTAAGGAGCATAAGCAGGGTGAGTATTTAGAAGAGCATTAAGCTCTTGAAACTGCATGTTCTTAATTTATATGATTGGTAGAGCTGTGAGCCTTTTATTATTATTTTTTTGTGAAATTATTTAATATGTATATTGATATTTATTTTAATGCATCATATATATTTTCATTAATAACATAAGATTGTTTTTTATTTTTTAAAAAATATTTAGTAACTATTTCATATTTAAATTATATTTATTTAATTTTTATGTCATTAAATATTTATTTTATGAATAATACATTATTGTTAATGTTAATTTACGAAATTATAAAATTGTAAATTTGATATAAATATAGTTTCATTTTTTTACCAAAATAAATAAATTAAATATAATTTATTATAATTTATTTAAGATTTTTTAAATATTTTTGAGCTCAATGCTTTGGAAATGCTCCCTTTCAGAGCAGGGAGGGAAGGAGCAGTTTGGGAGCAGTAGCAGTTTCTAAATGCTCTCCTAAATGCTCTTTTAAAAAAGTTGATTGGATGAAAAAGAGCTTAATGCTCTTCTAAAAGCTCTACCAAGCATAAACAACCTCTAACCTATCTCATCTTAAACCCTAAAGGGAACTACTCACTACACATGATGAAATAACCAACCAAATGCAATGAAATACACATTGAAAGATAGAGGGAAGCAAATTGAACAACTTTTATTGAAATCAAGAAGTGCAGAAATACAATAATAAAGCCTAGATCTAAGGTTCAATGAGCAAAAGCACAATAACACAAAGAGAGGCTAAAAAGTAAAAAAGAAAATGCAAATACAAAAATAAATAAAAGATAAGCTAAAAAGATGAGCAAAAGCTATGTTTAATTCGTAGCTCATTGCCTTTTATAGTAAAGCAAACTAGGTTTAGGGCAAAGAGAAACAACAATTTTCGGGTTTGACTTTGACTCTTGGAAAAGCAGCTCGATCGAGTTGGAAACTGGCCGGTCGAGCTTGTGGGTCGAGTTCAATCCAAATCGTCTTATCTTCTGAACCGCTTGTCTGAATTACATGAAACCACCTCCATACGAAAGCTAACTCGATTATCTATAACTTTCATCAAGAGGTCAGAGGCTCAATCGGAGTGGAAACCCTTCGTTTTGTACGATCCTTCAAACGCATCTCACTAGCTCGACCGAGCCGGTCGAGTGCATCGGTCGAGTCAAGCAAGAACTCTTCTGTTCCTTCCAATATTGATCCATATTGGTTATTTTATTGTACAGCCTTGCTATACCATTACTACCAAGTGTCCTTTGCTCCTAATGCTCCAAAAGTACATGGTTTTAAGTCTATATGCACAAATGCATGCAATGCACAATCTAAACCTACTATGTATGCATAAGTAGGGAAAAGCACCAAGAAATGATACTTTAGATGGTAGAAACAATGCAAATATGTTCTAAATCAGATGCTAAAAGCATGTAAGATGCAAGTACATCAGCTCCATCAGAGGAACTGTGGACAAGACATTGTTCATACTTGAGAAGGAAGATGATATGATGATGGTGCAGATCTATGTGGATGATATCATCTTTGGAGGAACTTCAGAGAAATTAGTGCAAACATTCGTGAAGAGTATGACCAAGGAGTTTAAGATGATAAATCCCTTGTTGAGAATCGACACTTTGAAGCAAGTAGAGGTTGAATTGTAGCGATGGAGTGAATGGAATCAAGGACTTGGTGAAATGGATTGAGATGGTGAAATGATGAATGGATCGATGGAAAGTGATAGATGAGGATGGATTGAATGGCTATACCAGAGATCCAATAGAAAGAAATCTCCAACACCACCTCTAAAATAGTTGATACAACTCACAACTAATCTAAAGGGATTTCTCGGATTCAACACACCAAGAGAAAGGGTTCTTAGAATCTCACTAAGAGATCTTTGAGTAAACAAAGGAAAAAGGTTTTTCATTCAAGGTTGCATTAAAACCAAAGGGAAATTCGTCCACACATATAAAGGGGAAAGAGAAGAGATAAATAAAGAGTCTAGTCTTGGAACATGCTCCAAAGACTATCTCGGAAAAGCAAACATAATTAAAGCAAAGTTTGAACACAAATATGACCCTTGGTCTTCATGGCCACGTTTTTAGTCTTCTTTATTGATGGGCCTAGGTCTTGATCAGCTAAATAGGTTATTTGTATGTGACCCATTTGCCTCATTAAAAACCTTGTCAAGAAAACCCATTGGGACAAAACTTGACAAGGGAAAAAGAGTACAAATGAGACACATGCCCATTTGCTGATCTCTTGAGCTTGGATCAAAAACCAGGGAGGTTTAGGATCAGGTTTTCTCCATTTTAGCTCAAGATTAACTCTGTAATGAGTAACCAATTCCATTGGTGCAGCTAAAGCTTCCTCAGCTACAAGCTCCGGTTCAAGCTCATCCTCAGCTACTAGCTTTCTTCCCTCACGTTCAAGCTGCTCCACTGGTTCAAGCTCTAAGTCCTTAACTCCATCAGGTTGAAGCTTAGGTCCATGCTCCTTGACCTTGGCGCTGGCCATAATCATATCATAAGATGAGCATGGTGGGAGAATTGAAGTATTTTCTTGGACTTCAAGTGAATCAGATTGAGAAAGGAATCTTTATTTCTCAATATGCTAAGAATCTGCTGGTGAAGTTTGGTTTTGAAAAGTGCGAGGAGGTTGATGCGGAGTCAGGTTTTACCAAACTCCTAGACCTCTGCAAGTGCACAGATCGCGGAAGTATGGGTATCGAACACAAGGACTGGCTATTGAGTACACTTTGTAACTATGGATTTTGGATCAAGCTAAAACAAAAGTATGATTGAGGTTGTAATGGTGAACCGAACTAGCAAGTATAACGAGGTTGTAAACAATAAAGGAAAAGCGCTAGGTCATAGGGGCTATCGCAGAGAAGCAAGCAATGATCAATGAAACAATGATAGATTAATTGATTAGGGATATTGGGATATTAAGAACCATCTAGAACACAGATCACGAATATAAAACCATTCCACTTTCGAGGCTCCGGCTCCTTTGCTAATCTACCTAGTCGCTAAACTTTTGGTATGTCCCTAGGTGATTAGATCAAGCATTAGAATGAATAGGTTCTGATACAGTTCACTAGATATAGATAGATCAACTTTCGCAGTCTAAGAAACCTAGCTTGTCAAAGAATATGTCCGGCGAATGATACAGCACTGTCGAGGCTCAAATCAACCTAAGATCGGATTACTAGATGCGCGGTAAAGCAATCAGCATTAGTTAAGTGCACAAGACGAGACAAAGACTCTAATATAATCCCTAGCTAATCATTGAAATCAAAGATCATGCAAGCAACTCATTGAATAGTAACCCTAGCAACCTAACTAGTGGATTACTCAGACATGATCAAAGCAAACACACATAGAGATGAAGAAAACATGATTGCAATAAAACTTAGAGTAGGAAATCGAAATACAGGGCGGCTCTCTTTCTCAAGAGGCTAAAAATCCATATATATAGTGCTAGGTCTTTCTAGAGGCGGCTAGGGTTAAGCCGGGCTTGAAAACATAAGTTTGGGCTTCAAAAAGGGCTTCGGGTCGACCGCGGCGTTGGGACGGTCGTGCGGGACGATCGGCCGGACATCGGGTCGTGGGCGAGTCGGAACGGTCGGGGTCGGACGGATTCGCGGTCGGCCGGCGTGGTCGAGCGGATGAATTTGGCCGATGAAATTCTCGGCCGGACGTGGGACGTTCTTTCCCGGCTCGGACGGATGCATCGGCCGTGGTACGCGGAACGGGTTGCGCGGCCGCGAGGCTTGTTTCCCGGCTCGCGCGCTTTGGTCGTGCGCGGTGTGGCGTGTTGCTTGGCCGACCGCGGGACAATGTTTCCCGGGTCGTGATGCGTGATCGGCCGGTGGTTTGGAACTTTGGCCGAGACTTCAGTCGGACGGATACTTTGGCCGAGCGCGGAACATTCGTTCCTCGGCCAGCCGGACTGCGCGGTTGGGCGCTGTTTCTCGATAGAGCCGTCTGGACAGTCTTCACTCTTTTGGTATAACTCCTTTTCTACTCATCCAAATGAGGCCATTCCAATTGCGTTGGAAAGTTAACTCAATCAGAGCACGCAGGGAACTGGTCTTGATGAAATCCATTGAGTAGATCTTTTTCTGGGCCCTCTTAAAGTTGGTGCTTGTGCATGGAGCTGCTTGAAGTGCAAATCCTATGGTTTTGCTCCAAAATGCATCATTTCACCTGTTTAGACTCTAGACACTATAAACACAGTAAAACTACCTTTTTAGATAGAAAACCTGCCAAAAACCATTAGAAAACAATGCTAAAACAGTATAAAAAGTGGGTAAATTAGAGGTATATCAGAGGCAAGAACACCAATGAGCACCACCACTAAGATTGGAAAGGATGAACATGGAGAAGATGTTGATGTGAAGCTCTACAGGGAAATGATTGGAAGCTTGCTTTATCTTACAACAAGTCGACCAGACTTATGCTTCAGCATCGGTGTGTGTGCTTGTTATCAGACCAAACCAAAACAGTCCCATCTTCAAGCGATGAAGAAGATCTTGAGGTATGTCAAGGGAACTGTCAATCTGGGGATCTTCTACTCCAAAAGATCCAATAGAAACCTTGCTGGATATTGTGACGCCGACTGGGAAGGATGTGCAGATGATCGGAAAAGCACAAGTTGAGGTTGTTTCTTTCTTGGAAACAATCTTATCGCTTAGCAAGAAGCAGAATTCTGTGTCACTATCTACTGCAGAGGCTGAATACATTTCATTGGGAAGCTGTGATGTGCGGGATCAGGTCTTCCCCTTTCCTATCCCTGATTCTGCAAGTGCACAGGTCAGAAGTAGTAAACGGGTATCGAACACAAGGACCAGATTGCACACTACAAGTTATGAGTTTGAGAACAAGCTAGGGCAAAAGTATAAGTTGGTTGAGTGCAGAGAAAGTAAAGCATGCAAGTAATAAAAAGTGAGAATTCAATAGGAGAGAAAGGCTAAGCAATAGGATAGTCTTGAGATAAGCAATTCAAGAAGCATGAAATCAATCAATTAGGGTTACCGCACTTAGGTGCTAATCTAGAACTTGAAACACTATGGTATGATCATTCCACTGTCGAGGCTCCGACCCCTTTGTTAATCTACCTAGTCGCTAAACTTTTGGTATGTCCCTAGGTGATTAAATCAAGCATTAGTTCGATCAAGATCAATTGTTCACAACCTACAAGTAGATCAACTGTCGCAGTCTAAAAGAGATTGCCCACCAAATACTAGTTCAGGCGAATGATACAGCACTGTCGAGGCTCAAATCAACCTAAAGGCATATGCTAATTGGCCAGATTAACAACAAGCATTAAGTATAAGCAAAGATGGAGATTATAAGTAAAACCCTAATTGTGATCAATCATCAAGCATACATGAATGCTATCCTTTGACTTCCTATCACTTAACAAGTAAACTACTCAGACATAGAGAAGGAAATCGAATTCATATTCATAAGAACAGAGATTCGAATCCTCTCTAGAAAGAGTAACAAGCAAGAACAAAGTAAAAGCAAGCAAAACTTTATTAAGATGTAAAATAGATTGTGGTCTCTCTCCTTCTTGAGTTACAAGGCTAAAAAGAAGTATTTATAATGCTCTAAGTATGAAAGGCGGCTAAACCTAATCTAGCTAGGTCGGCGCCGGCTTTGGGCTTGAATTGTGCGGATTGGGCTTCAAAAACGGCTTCGGGTCGACCGCGGCGTTCGGACGGTCGGACAGTCGGGTCTTGGTCGAGTCGGAACGGTCGGGGCCGGATGTTATGACGGTCGGCCGGCGTGGTCGGGCGGATAGGAATTTGGCCGATGGTTCTCGGCCGGACGTGGGCTTTCTTTCGGCCGCGGTACGCGAGGTGAGTTGCGCGGCCGCGAGGCGTTACTCCCGGCTCGCGCGGTGGTCGTGCGCGGTGTGGCGTGACGTTGCTTGGCCGACCGCGGGCAATGTTTCCCGGGTCGTGCTGTGTGATCGGCCGAGTGGTTTGGACTTTGGCCGAGACTTCAGTCGGACGGAATACGGTTTTGGCCGAGCGCGGAACATTCGTTCCTCGGCCAGCCGGACTGCGCGTTCGGCGCTGATTCTCGATATGGCCGTCTGGAGCAGCCTTCACTCTTTTGGCTATAACTCCTTTTCTACTCATCCAAATGAAGCCATTCCAGTTGCGTTGGAAAGTTAACTCAATCAGAGCACGCAGGGAACTGGTCTTGATGAAATCCATTGAGTAGATCTTTTTCTAGCTCCATCCAAAGTTGATGCAGGGGCATTGAACTGGTTTAGAGTCCAAATCTCCTGTTTTGCTCCATAATGCACCTTTTTACCTAAAATGACTCTTTGCACTATAAATCCATAAAAACTACCTTTTAACACAAGAATCCACTAGAAAACCATTAGAAAACCATAGTAAAATAGCATAAAAAGTAGGTAAAATAGAGGTATATCAACTCCCCCAGACTTAGATCTTTGCTTGTCCCCAAGCAAAAAGAATCTAAACTAGTGAAGAGGTTTTGAAAAACGTGGGAACTCTCTTGCTTCTTTGAAAATCCTGTGAAAGGTTCCTTTCCTGTATTCCACTAAGAACATAGTCAACATAAGGTTAGCTTCACATACACCCTGCAAGTTTAGCAACATACCAACCCAACTAGTCTCATCCAGCAATCCAAACTCTCTATTGTTAACCTCTTGCAGAAATTTAAAGCGTGAGTTCTTTATCAAGGGAAAATCGATCAATTGAACTTGTTCTTACCCACTTGATCTTCTCCAAGATTGTCTTTGAAGTGCAATGAGTTCCTTTCCTCTCTCTTTCTCACATCAGAACTTTGAAAGGTCAATTTCTCCCTACTTTTCTAGGGTATCATTTTATTTTTTCTATTGACCTTTCTTTCAACCACAGGATAAGTCTTTAGCTTGTTCCTTGTTTGATTTAGGTATTCCATAAGACATGAAGGTACAGACATATGCATTCCTCATGCTTACTTGTTTTCCTTGTGCTCTTTGAGCTTTTCTCATAAACATTACTTACCATTTGGGATGGGAGAGAGAGGTGAACTCTTTAGACAAATCTCATTGAAAATCAAGCAAGGAACTGTCGACATGTATGCCAATCCCCTTGACAAGAGTTATTAAGATTGATTAAGGGTGAGGTTAACTCTAGATTGCTTGGTTACCTTAGAAATTTCGCTGAGCTAGCATGCGATCCACTCTAGGAGCTTCTGTTAGGCTTGTGCCTTCAGCTGATGTTTGCTCTAGGGTCATAGATTGTTAGCATGACACTATCAAATCTCAAAGCAAGTTCATTGTTCCCGGACTGGTTTTGACTCAATAAAACAGAAGTTTTGAAAAAGTGGGTTAGGAAAAACCAATTATAAGAACATGAACAAACATTAGTACCGACAATCCCCCCAGACTTAACTTGCACCGTCCCGGTGAAAGAAAATCCAATTAAGGGAGTTAAAGAAAGAGGTAATAAAGTGGTTGTGAATGTAAAAAGAAAGATGTAACCTGATTTGGTGTTACTTGAAGAATGGTGAATGCAGTGGAATGATGGTAGTGATGGAATGCAAGTGTGGTGAGGTGGGATGGGTGAGATGCAGATGGAATGAGATGGGATGGTGTGTTGGGCGCTTGAGAGGACATGGGCGAGCGTGGAGAGGTTCTGCTCGGCCATCTAAGTCGCGCCAACTATGAACATTCTTCTTGTGGTATATCTTCTTTACCATTGTGTGGTTCTTAGATTCCTGTTTCCAAAACTCAAAACAAAACTAGACATTAACTAAAACTAATTGAAAAGAAAAGTAAAGAAAAACACCTTTCATGGGTTGCCTCCCATGCAGCGCTTCTTTTGAGTCATTAGCTTGACTGATAGGATCTCTTAGTTGGAGATGGGGTAAGGGCACGGCCTGAGACATAGTCTTTTAGTTCTTGTCTCATTGTGACCTTGAGTGTGGTCTGGTGGCTCTCTTGGGCGGCCTTGGGCAGTGATGAGGTAAGACAGCTTGTTTGGTGCAATGAATGGTATGGTCTTGTAAAAGACTGTCTTGTCCACATTGGCTAAGGACATTCGCCGGTTTGGAAGGTCCATGACAGCTCCAGCAGTGGCCAAAAAGGGTCGGCCTAGTATCAATGGTGTGTCACATCCTCCTTGAATGTTTATGACATGAAAGTCCACCGGGATCTTGATATCTCCAATCTCTAGAAGAACATCAACAACAACTCCTCTTGGCTTGGCTATAGTATGGTTAGCAAGTCCAATACTAATTTGAGCAGGTTGCAAGCGTGTGATGCCAAGGAGTTTGGCGGTTTGGGTTGGCATGAGGTTTATGCAAGAGCCAGAATCGCATAGTGTTCTATCAAAGTAATGACCATTTACTTGACAGGGAATAGAGAATTGACCTGGGTCTTCAATCTTGTAGAGGGTCTTGAAGGTTGGCTGAACTTTAGCTTTCTCAAAAAGCTCTTTTATGTCCTTCAGGTGTCTCCTTGCAGTTGTGGAAGAAAGGGGTGAATGGGTAGTGGCGCCAAGCTTCTTTGAAAGACATGCTGGCTGGAAGAGTTTGGACAAACTGATTGAACTCAGCAAGCTTCTCTCCCATCTAATCTAGAAAGATTAAGCATATGAAACCTCTAATCTATCCCATCTCAAACCCCAATGGGTAACTACTCACTAAACATAAATGTAAACACAAGCAAATGCAATAAAAGAGACATCATAAGAAAGAGGAGATGAAATAAACAACTTTTATTGAAATAAGCAAGTGCAAATACAAGAGAGATTAACCAAGATCTAAGATTCAAGAAGCAAGAGCTTCAAGAACACAAAGATGAGATTAGATCTCTAAAAAGTAAAGGTATAAAATTAAAAGAAACTAAAAACAAAATAAAGTAAAGCTTGGTCGTTTTTTCGTGGCTTAGAGCCTTTAAATACAAGAGGTTTTAGGTTTAGGGTCAAAGGAAAGTCAAGGGGGAAGCAACATTTTTCGGGTTTGACTTTGACTCCCCAGCTCGATCGAGTTGAAGCTTGGCCGGTCGAGTTGAGGAACTCGACCGGTTGGTCGAGTGGACGGTCGAGCTGGTCTTCAAGATGGACTTCTCCCTTCTTCCTTTGCGTATCCAGTTGAGCTGCTTCCATGTGCCAAGTCCCTCCATGCTCCTTGTGTCCCATATGCTCCAGAATGCTCCAAAAGACCTATTTCAAAGGACCAAACATGCATATGTATGCAAATGCAACCTAAAACTAACATGAATGCATAAGAAGAGAAAAGGAACAAGATATGATGCAAATGAAAGCTAAAACTATGCAAAAGATGCATAAAAGATGTGCTAAAACTATGTAAAATGCAAGTACATCAGCTATATAGTTGGATCCAAGGTGATTGTGCACACTGACCATGCTGCCCTTAGACACATTTTCGCTAAAAAAGATACAAAGCCAAACTTCTCAGATGGATCCTTTTGCTTCAAGAGTTTGATATAGAAGTTGTGGACAAAAAGGGAGTAGAAAATGGAGTTGCTGATCATCTCTCTAGGATGCGAATTGAAAACATGATCCCCATCAATGATACTATGCCTGAAGAACAGCTTATGGCAATCATGATCTTGAAGGAGAGTTTTGATGAGAAAGCCAGGCTGGAAGAAGTTAAGGCTCTGCGTGATGAGAATTTGCCATGGTATGCTGATATAGTTAACTTCATGGTGTCCGGAGAAGTCCCTAGTAGCTTTGATGCTTACAAGAGGAAGAAATTATTCAAGGATGCTAGGCATTACTATTGGGATGAGCCCTACCTGTACAAGAGAGGACCAAACAGCATTTACAGAAGATGCATTGCTGAAGAGGATGTGCAAGGAGTTCTGGAGCATTGCCATGGGTCAGCTTACGGAGGTCACTTTGCTACATTCAAAACAGCAACTAAGGTTTTGCAATCTGGTTTATGGTGGCCTACTTTGTTTAAGGATGCAACAGACTACATTGCCAAGTGTGATCCGTGCCAAAGGAAAGGAGGGATCACCAAGAGGGACGAGATGCCACTAAACACAATTCTAGAGGTTGAGATCTTTGATGTATGGGGAATAGACTTCATGGGACCTTTCAAACCTTCTTCAAACGGGCACAACTACATTTTGGTTGTTGTAGACTATGTATCCAAATGGATTGAAGCCATTCCCTGCCCAACCTGTGACACCAAGGTGGTTGTCAAGCTTTTCAGAACCATCATATTTCCAAGGTTGGCCTTGTACTCATGCTTGATGAATGGTGTGGTGAGGATGTAGAACTCATCAGTTGTGACCTTGTTGGCTTCTTGTTTGCATTGGAAAGTGGTGGAGATGAGGCGGTGCACATAGCGAATGGCTGGATGAGTGATTCTAGACACCTTTGATCTTGAAGGCAAGAATGGTTCATTGGCAAAGTGTGTCCAATCAGCAAAGGCAGCTTGTTTCCTCTTTGAGTTCTCCTTGAAGTCATGTGCTGTCTCATTGGGAAGTCCAAAGAGTTGGCATAGAGCTGAGATGGAGATGCGCCCATTGGCATCGCCTATCTTGAAGAGTAGGAGTCCATCACCAGCTGGTTGGTCTCCATTGTGGTTGGGAAAGGCAAGAGCTACTGTGGAGAGGAACTCCTTGGTAGCATTGAGTACTCGCTACACTCTAGCTTGAAGAGCTTGCTCAAGCCTAGCTTCCTTATGTACCATGTGACATCATCTCTTATCTTGAGAAGGTCAAGGGTTGGGGTGTCCATCTTCACACAAGGTTCGATGTTCACCTTCTCCATTGCCTTCTTGCACTTTCTTGGGTCTTGGATTTGTTCTCCAACAAAGCTTACAAGTGCCCAATCATCTTCTCTTCTTGGACTCTCCACATGTTCTTGACTTGCATCAATGGAATGTGGTGAGTTGGTATTTCTGCTCTTGCATTGGAGCTACTACTCCCTAGCTTGATTTGTTTCTTGGTGGTTCCATGAATGGGTTCTTCTTCTTCTTCATACTCTCATTTCCTTTTGTCTTTGCCATTGGGTACCTACAAGAGCAAATTCTTGGGAAGAATATGAGTTTGTGATTAATGCAAAAGAAGAATAAGCTAATTGAGTTGTAATAATGATATGGATAATGGAACAACTCAAGGCTTAATCATGAATCAAAGAAACAAAATGGAAATTTCACTTTTTCAAAGTTAATTTTCGGATTTTACTGTTCATCCCAAGATTATGGTGCTTAAAATCGAAATTTTAGCAAATCAAGAGAAATTGAGTTTCTAATCCAAGTAATCACTAGATAAACTAATGAATTGAAGTATGCTAAGCAATTTCACCTTTGAATGAAGGGGTTTGGAATGCCCAATAAGTTTTGTGAAAAACTATTCAATTGTGAAATTAAACTTAAATAACTCTAAACCACCTAGGTTCCACCTAGCTAAGTTCATTACAAGACTAATAAGATGGCAATTTCAAGTTTAGACAAGAGTTTAGACCAAACAAGAAACTTATTGAAATTTTCGATCTTGCATAAACATAGGATTAGAGTTAGAAGACATACCTTGTGTATTGAAAAGTGAATAAGGTTGCAAGAGCAAGTAAATTCCAATTTAGAGTTATGAACAGTAAAAGTTTTGAAATCAAAGCTCTTAGAGTTCCTCTAATGGAGTTTAGGGTTTTGGAGAGAAAGAGAGGTTCTTGTTGTTTTCAAGGGAAAGGTAAAGTATAAAGCTCAAATCCTATTAATTTCCTTTTCAAATTCGAATTTTGATTGAAAACCGGTTTAAGTTGGTTTAGGATTGGTTAAAACCGGTTTGAATTTAATGAAAAGGGGACTTACCTTGGCCGAGAAAAGTTTTGGGCCGATGGCCGATTTTGTCGCGGTCGTGCGATTTGGTCGGCCAAACTCGCGAATGGACGAGAATTTCGGCCGAGGCCGAACGTTTGTTTCCCGGATCGACCGTAACGGTCGGTCCGTTCCGATACATAAATCCGGCCGAGCGCGGCCTGTTCCTTCTCTGCCCGTGCGTGCCGCGCGACGGTTCTTGTCGCGCAATAGAGTCAATCCGGCCGAGCATAAGCCGTTCCTTCCCGGCTCGACCGCACGGTCGGCCCGGTTGGAAATTGCTCGGCCAAAAAATTTTTGCGCGTCCGCGGCCAATGTTTGGCGCGGATTGTGTTTTCACACCTTTTTCTCCTTCTATCCTATCTTAAAACAAAGAAAACACAAAAGCAAAACAAAAACTAAGAAATTTAAAGAAAGAAAAGTAAAAGTACCTCATGGGTTGCCTCCCATGCAGCGCTTGTTTTAAGTCTTTAGCTTGACTGTAAGGCTTGGCACTCAGGAGAAGATGGAGACAAGAGGCATCTTTGATCCTCCAAGTCTTTTCTCCTTGCAATGAGTATCTGGTGGGTGATTCACAGCTGGATAGACAATCTCTCCATGGATGTCCCTTGGCACAAATGCCTTAGGAAAAAGTTGTAGAGTTCTTGTAACTTTCTCCTTGAATCCTTCTAGATTCTCATCAATAAGCTCCTTTGGGAATAGAAGCTTCATGTTGCGGCCAGACCTAGGTTTTCTCACCTTCTTTCTTGGCTTGGCCTCATCTTCAATCTTGGATGATCCCTTGGGCGGTTTTGGTGTAGGGGCCTTAGTCTTACTCCTTGCTTGTGTGGTGATGATAGGATTTGTGTGTGGATGTGAAAAGAATGAAATGAGATGAGTGGAATGCAATCAGTGGTATATGATGAGGTGGTAAGATGCAAACACAAACACAGTCAACAATTCCCTTTAACCATGATAGTTGATGTAGTACAAAGGGTTATCAATCCAAAATGGGAAACTTGTCACTCTTTGAGAATATGAAACAACCAGAAAGTCAAGCAAGCAGTTAAGAGATTTGAAGTAACACTAACAACCTAAAAAAATGAAAAGCAGTGCAATAAAAGTAAACAAAGCAGTGAAGTGTCAGCTCGACCAAGAGCTCGAGTCGAGTAGAGCAAAGTACCAGCTCGATCGAGTTTAGGGACGAGTTGAGACAAACAAAGCTAAAGGTGACGACTTTAACAAGATAAGAGAGAATTAGGGTTCAAGACAGGGTTTTGCAATCAAAGGAATCTACACTTAATCAATCTAGCTCTTAAAACTCCTTGTATCAAGGCTTCTCTTGATATTGGGCTTCTCAATGCCTAGCCAACCCTTTCCCAAGGTGGAGGCTATCAACCAAGGAATGATCTCAGAAACAGGGGGTTAGCCAGTGAGAATCAAACCTTGGAGGCTATAGGATCATTGCCCAAACTAATCCATCCAACCCCTTAGACCTCTATTGTCTAGAGCAAGAGATATTGGAGCTCTTAGTGGATCTTTTCCAGCGAATGCCATCACTTTCGTGTGGGGAGTCGCCTAAGGACTTACAAGCCAGGGGTAGTGGTCATGTAGCCTTAAGATCTATCCAAAAGAGAGAGAATCTAGATTAAGACCATAAGCTAGAAGGATTAAGCATATGAAACCTCTAATCTATCCCATCTCAAACCCTAATGGGTAACTACTCACTACACATGAATGTAAACACAAGCAAATGCAATAAAAGAGACATCATAAGAAAGAGGAGATGAAATTAAACAACTTTTATTGAAATAAGCAAGTGCAAATACAAAGAGATTATCCAGGATCTAAGATTCAAGAAGCAAGAGCTTCAAGAACACAAAGATGGGATTAGATTCTAAAAAGTAAAAGACAATAAATTAAAGAAACTAAAACAAAATAATCTAAAGCTTGGTGGTTTTTTCGTGGCTTAGAGCCTTTAAATACAAGAGGATTAGGTTTAGGGTCAAAGGAAAGTCAAGGGGGAAGCAACATTTTTCGGGTTTGACTTTGACTCCAGCTCGATCGAGTTGAAGCTTGGCCGGTCGAGTTGAGGAACTCGACCGGTTGGTCGAGTGGACGGTCGAGCTGGTCTTCAAGATGGCTTCTCCCTTCTTCCTTTGCGTATCCAGTTGAGCTGCTTCCATGTGCCAAGTCCCTCCATGCTCCTTGTGTCCCATATGCTCCAGAATGCTCCAAAAGACCTATTTCAAAGGACCAAACATGCATATGTATGCAAATGCAACCTAAAACTAACATGAATGCATAAGAAGAGAAAAGGAACAAGATATGATGCAAATGGAAAGCTAAAACTATGCAAAAGATGCATAAAAGATGTGCTAAAACTATGTAAAATGCAAGTACATCATCCAATGGTTAGCTTCGTGGCTCTTTCTTGATCAGCTCTACTCTCTTCTTCATCCCAAATCACTCTTGGGTCGGTCTCTCTTATAGTAAAGACGGGCGCGGCATAGTTTTGCTTAGGAACGGTCGTCTTTGTCTCGGTCAAGACCTTCTCTTCCAAGTTGGCTAAGCGAGTGGTTAAATCCTTGACTTCCTTGGAGACTCCATCTACTTTGTCTTCAAGCCCTCTAGCTCTTCTTTGAATATCTTGGCTCCTCTTGTCTAGAGAGATGTGTAAATCTCGGATTTGTGCCTTCACTTGTTTTTGCCCTTCCACCAATGTAAGCATTGTCGAGTAACATTGCCTCTCCTTTAGTGTTACTTCGGCTACCTCCCTCTTAGCTTGATGAGCTACTGCTGTTATTGAATTGAGACTCTTGGTGGTGCCATCGAGGTTGTTATCAAGACTTGAGATCTTCTCATCTAAGTGATTATCCATCTCCTTGGTAGAAACTTTGGTAAAGTGTATCGCTCTCCTATTGTCTTCAATGGCCTCGCCTTGCTTCTTCAAATCTTCCTCCATGTCCAAGCATCTTGACTCTACTTCTCTATTTGGGTAGAGAGTTCTCCAAGTCTTCCATCTAGTTCGTATCGCGTGAACTCTAGCTTTGTCTCAATGTCGCGGCTAGTTCTTCTTTGGCTCTCCATGAAACCCTCAAGCACGGCATCGAAATGACTATCTCTCCGCCTATTGAGAACATGGTCGTGGTGTGAATGCAACACTGGTCTAGGTGGTTGATGATAAACCGGAGGTCGGTTTTGATGATGATGGTAATGATGCTCGTCTCGGCTAGGTCCTTCAAACGTCGGATGAGCGCGGTTGGGAGGGAACGGATGTGGCACGATGCTTACGGCTGGGTCTTGGTAACTCCGGCCGTGGAGATCGTGTGGGATCAGTGTCCGGTTCCCAAAGTGGATGTTGGTGTTGTGATTCATCTCCAAGTACCTATAAACACAAGATTTAAAAAGAAAAAGTTAGTATTCGAAAATACCAAGATCTAGACTTAGTTTTAAACAAGACTATGCAAGTGTTTATGATGCAATCCCCGGCAACGGCGCCAAAAACTTGATCGCTGCATCTATGGGATGAGTACAAGTAATAATTCCCTAAGACAACTAGTGTTGCAAGTGCACAACATATAATTGTAGTATTTAGGGGTCGAACCACAAGGGATTGGATTTCACACATTACATAATCATAGAGTTCAAATGACTAAGCTAAATCAAAAGATGCAAGGGTTTGTGTTTGTTTAGAACACGCAAAAGCAAATAACAATGCAATTCTATACAAGCAACATTATTGAACTATTGAAAACTCTTTTGAAAACATGAGCCAAGTCGATTGAAAAGTTTGTTAAAATCCGATTCTTTTGAACTCAAAACACTAAGGAAGGATTATTCCACTTTCGTGGTTCCAATCCCCTATGTCTCTTAAACCAATGGGCTCAGCTTTCGTTGGTCATTGTAGAGTGAGACATGCATTACATCCAAGTAATGATTGTTCACAAAACTCTTTAGGTCTACTTTCGTAGCCTAAAACGATTTGCCCATCAAATATTGTGTCCGGAGATATAACAAGCTTTTGGAGAGTATATCAACCTAAAATCAAGTCACTAGTTAGCTACTCTAGCAACAAGCATTAAGCATAAATAAAGATGGAGAACCATAGGGTTTCCCCTTTTAACAATCGATTCAAGATGGCCATTATATCACGTCCTCATTGGAAGGATCCATAATTCAACAATGAGTCTTAGATAGTAGATGAAGTCTCATGAATCCTTAGAGAGAGAGGCGGCGGAATATGGACTAAACCACGCCTCACCCTTAGGGAGAAATCTCTACTTCTAGACTATATAAATTGAAACATGCAAGCTATATACAAATGCAAAAGAAGAAAAGAAAGAAGAAGGAGACCACCTAAGTGGCTCCGAACTTTATTGAATAAGTGTTTCTTGTTATGCGGCTGGTGATTCTTATTACAAGAGGCTAAAAGCAAGTATATATAGGTAGAGAGCGGGTCTAGGTCGGCAAAGTTGAGCGCGCGCAGAAGAGGAAAGTTTCCATTTCTCTTTAGCCGCTTGAGCTTGCTCTCCAAGTTCTTGAATGGGCCGCGTTCAGGCCAATGGAAGCTTCTGGATTGAGTTATGCTAGTGTCAAGATGAGCCAAGGCCTTGGGCGCGGTATCTCGGGCCTCTTGATCCATCAAAGTCTCCATGGGCTCTACTTAGGCGCTCGTCGGACATGTCTTGGTAGAAAATAAGTTCCGGTCCAACGAGTGATCCAAATGACCTCTTTCCACTTCGCCGCGGGTCATGACTCAAATATCTATCTTTCCATATAAGAAACATGACTTTTGGACGTCGGGAAGGCATGAATATGCGGTCGTACTTCGGATGCTCCGGTTTGGTCTTTAGCGAGAAATGTAGATTTGGTGCTCTAGACTTGGGAACTTGGTGATTTGACTCTTTTTGCTCCATTTTGACTCTTCTTTGCTATTTTGACCTGAATGATGCTCAAAACCAGAATATACAAGAAAACTACCTCTTGGGCATAAAAACCACATTATTTGTATTAAAAACATAGTGAAAACCTTGATAAAAACATGAAAGATATGGGTATATCAGGACTCCGTGGATAAACTCTATGCGAGCCGTTCCATCAACCTATCACCTCTGCGTCAAATTTCCGACCCCAGGAGGAATAAAGACGCTCTGGGGGGACCAGAAGGAATCGCGGATATGCTTCATGTCCGAACATAAGTTGAGAAACCCAATGACCGAACTCTTCGCAGAAACAAACCGGAAGAAGTTGAAGACCGGCCGCGAGCCAGCAAACGACCTCGCCAAACTCTTATAGCAATTACAGATCGCGGAAGATCGCAGAACCGACGAACCATCCTGCGATGCCGTGATCCAAGTTTGCATTGACGAGGAACACCCAGAACGCTGCGTAGTGATTGGAGCTCAACATGAAGAAACATTGAGAGCGGAATTTTTCGCGCTTCTAAAGGAAAACATCAACGCCTTTGCGTGGACCGCGGAAGACATGCCAGGAATTGAAATAAACATAACATGTCACGAGCTGAATGTCGATCCAACGTTCAAGCCAGTCAAGCAGAAGAGACGGAAGCTAGAAGCAGAGCGAGTTAAAGCTGTGAATGATGAAGTAGAGCGACTTCTGAAAGTTGGATCGATTGCCGAAGCAAAATACCCAGATTGGCTCGCCAACCCTGTTGTTGTGAAGAAGAAGAATGGAAACTGACGAGTGTGTGTGGATTTCACGGATCTAAACAAGGCGTGTCCGAAAGACAGTTTTCCGCTTCCGTACATCGATCGCTTGGTAGAAGCAACAGCTGGAAACAAGCTTCTCTCTTTCATGGACGCTTTCTCAGGATATAACCAAATCCTCATGAACCCAGACGACAGAGAGAAGACCGCTTTCATAACAGATCGCGGTATCTATTGCTACAATGTCATGCTGTTCGGACTGAAGAATGCTGGAGCGACCTATCAACGGCTCGTCAATAAGATGTTCGCCGATCAGCTCGCAAAAACAATGGAAGTTTACATCGACGACATGCTGGTCAAATCCCTTGAAGAGAAGGATCATGTGACCCATTTACGCGACTGTTTCAAACAGCTCAATTCGCACAACATGAAGCTCAATCCGACGAAGTGTAGGTTCGCGGTAACATCTGGAGAATTCCTCGGATACTTGGTGACCCGACGAGGTATTGAGGCGAACCCGAAGCAGATCCTCACATTGATCGAAATGACCTCACCAAAGACGAAGCGAGAGGTACAAAGGCTCACAGGACGTGTAGCGGCGCTCAATCGTTTCATCTCTCGATCCACAGATAAATGTTTGCCTTTCTACGACACTCTGCGCGGAAACAAGAAATTTGAGTGGGACGACAGATGCGAGAAGGCTTTCCAGGAGTTGAAGGAATATCTGGCAAACCCGCCGATATTGGCGAAACCAGTAGAAGGCGAGCCACTTTTCCTTTACATTGCCGTGTCGAGAACCGCAGGTAGTGGCGAACAGAGACCTGTTTTTTACGTGAGCCAATCGTTGGTCGATGCAGAAACCCGTTACCCGCAGACCGAGAAGCTCGCGCTTGCCATCGTAATGTCAGCTCGGAAGCTACGACCGTACTTTCAATCCCATACAATCATCGTCCTGGCCTCTCTACCAATGCGAGCCATCTTACACAGTCTGAGCCAATCCGGACGACTAGCTAAATGGGCGATCGAACTCAGCGAGTATGACATAGAGTACCGAAGCAGAACCTGCGCAAAATCCCAAGTTTTGGCCGACTTCTTGATCGAATTGCCGACAGAGGGGTCTAGCGAGCAACACACCAGCGCAACGTGGACTTTGCATGTCGATGGTTCGTCATCCATACAAGGAGCCGGAGTGGGAATACGCTTGACGTCACCAACGGGCGAGATCCTAGAGGAATCGCTGCGACTCAACTTCCGAGCATCCAACAACGAAGCAGAGTATGAAGCATTGATCGCCGGACTCAGGCTAGCTCTCGGTATTAACATCCAGGAGATTCGAGCATTTTGCGACTCTCAACTCGTCGCGAACCAGTTCAGCGGAGAATACGCCACTAAAGACGAAAGAATGGAGAAGTACTTAGCAATCGTGAAAGAGTTGGCTGCAAAATTCACTAAATTCGAGGTAACGCGAGTACCCCGTGGCGAGGACACGCAGGCAGACGCCCTAGCTGCGCTAGCATCCACGTCCGACCCAGACCTCAAAAGGATAATACCGGTGGAATTCATTGAACGACCAAGCATCGATGTTCCCGAGCCAGTTATGTCGATAACGTCAACGCAACCCGAAGAAGAAGGCGAACAAGACAATGGCATAGCTGACATGGAGATAGACGGAGAAGTTGAATATGGCTGCGACAAAGAATGGATGGGCTCGATCCGAGCATACATACATGATGGCAAAATCCCGGCAGAGAAATGGGCAGCTCGCAAACTCGGAGCTCAAGCAGCACGCTACGTTGTGTTAGACGGGAACTTACTCAAATGGCGATTCTCCGGACCGTTGCTCAATTGCGTCGAAGGGAAGGATGCGCAAAAAATCATGGAAGAAGTTCACAGCGGCTCTTGCGGAAACCACTCGGGCGGACGAGCCTTGGCAATCAAGATTAAGCGTCACGGGTACTACTGGCCGACGATGATCACGGATTGTGAGAAGTACTCTGCCAAATGCGAGAAGTGCCAACGACACGCGCCGACGATCCATCAACCCGCTGAGCTGCTATCATCCATCTCGGCTCCGTACCCATTCATGCGCTGGTCGATGGACATCGTGGGTCCTTTGCATCCGTCGAAGCAGAAGCGATTCTTGCTGGTGCTAACAGATTATGTTTCGAAGTGGGTGGAAGCAGATTCGTATGCCAGCATAAAAGACGCTCAAGTTGAACAATTCGTTTGGAAGAATATCATATGCCGCCATGGAGTTCCGTATGAGATCGTTACTGACAACGGCTCGCAGTTCATTTCAGCTCGTTTCGAAGGATTCTGCGAGAGGTGGAAGATTCGACTCAGCAAATCCACGCCGCGCTATCTGCAAGGAAACGGTCAAGCCGAAGCAACTAACAAGACAATCCTCGACGGTTTGAAGAAACGGTTAGGCGAGAAGAAGGGATGTTGGGCAGACAAACTCGAAGGAGTACTTTGGTCGCACCGAACCACTCCGCGGCGAGCCACTGGAGAGACACCGTTCGCGCTTGTTTACGGGACAGAATGCATAATCCCATCTGAGATACATTTTCCAGGAGTTCGTCGACGACTTTTACCGGAGCAAGAAGGACTTAACCACCTGATGCTTCTTGACGAGCTAGACTTGGTGAACGAACGACGCGACCGTGCACTAATCCGCATCCAAAATTACCAGCAAGCAACGGCTAGGTACTACAATACTAACGTTCGAAGCAGAAGATTCGGAGTGGGAGACCTGGTCCTCCGGAAAGTTTTCCAGAACACCGCCGAACTAAACGCAGGAAAGTTGGGCGCGAACTGGGAAGGTCCCTACAGAATCACCAACATCGTGCGACCCGGCGCTTACAAAATCGAAACTCTGGATGGAAAAACGATACAGAAGCCCTGGAACGTGATGCACTTGAAGAAGTATTACCATTAGAGCCACTCAACGCTCGTCACTCAGAACTACGCACGGCTTGATTCTCGCCAAGGGATACATAGGCAGTTCGTCTTCCGACAGATTCAGTTCAGATAAAAAAAAAAAAAAAGAAAGAGAAAAAAAAAAAATCCAGCTCGGAATCACTTAGAACTACGCGTGACTTGATCCTCGCAAGAGGTACGTAGGCAGTTCTTCTTCGGACGGATTCAGTTGCCCCTCCCAAAAAAAAAGGGGGGGAGCGGAGTACGTATACTAGTATACTCCTTCGCATTGTACCAAAATCTCAATGAATAAAACGGATTTTACCTGTCTCAACTCAAAATGTTTCCAGTTCACAACATCTTTCTTTTCAGTTCATATCTCATCATTTCACACTTATCATTCGCTGCTGGCCACAGTGAATGAACTACAACAATCCTTTTCGGATTTTTTATGCGCACTTTATAATTTCGATCGAATGTCTTTGTTTCAACTTGTAATTCCTAAAGAAGGAAGTCACGAGAAAAACCGAAACAAAAACGAACGCAACCCAACAACAAGAATGCCTCTTGGTAAACGTTGGTCTTTCTACAAAAATACCTAAGTGTGAATTGTTCAAACAATTTTAACATGAATGGTTCGCTTACTCTTCCTAAACACCTTCCCTGCAAGATTTTCATCACAACAAGTTCTCGTTTGCAGACAAGAAGAAAGAGTTCAAAATATTTCATAAAACCAAAGCAAAGTCAAAGCGGATAAAGCCGTCCAGGCAATTTGTTAGGAAACCTAAAAGCAAAACAAAGCAAAGTCACAATGGATAAAGCCGTCCAGGCACTAAGTACGAAACAAAAAACATAAAGCAGTAAAACCTAAATAGAGGTGGCGTCTGTCGTCTTCTCGGGAGTCGGCTCGCCAGCTTCATCTCCTACAGTGGTGGTTTCACCAGAAACCTGATCGACCCCCAAAGAAGTATCATCCGACGACATAGGCGCGGTGATGTTCGAACCATGCGGATCAGCGACCCCAATCTCTCTGGCCGCCTTCTCGACTGACTCGGGATCGAACGCAGGAGGCGGAACGATCGGCGGTTCGGGTGTAAGAGGAGGAAGCCCGAGCTCGCTCAACAACCTGGAAGCAATCTCGTCTCACTTCACGAGAACTCCCATCTTCTCTACTCGGATCTTACGAAGCATCTCCACCTCCGCGTCAAAATCTGTGATCTCGCCCTTCTTATGAAGCCGGATAAAATTGAGGTTGGCATCGATCTGTGTCACATGAGCCTTAGCTCGCCTCGCATCCTGGAGATCCCTGAGTGCCGGCGTCACCTTGTCGAGCTTCGCTGATAGTTCGCGCTGCACACACTCGATGTCACGCCCGCAGCTCTCCTTAATGTTTTTCTCCATCCTGGCTTCTCGTTTCTCGAATCGCAACTCGAGTTCGACCCTCGCAGTAAGATCTTTCTGAAGCTTCTCGTTCTCTCTCTGCAACCTCTCCAAGCGAGACTCGAACACTTCCACCACTTCCTCGTGCTCTCGCTTCAGCGCTTCTGCTGCCTCCCCACCATCGGAGTCATTCTTATCCTTAAGTTGCTTCTCCAGCGAGTCCACCTCCCTCCTCGACTCCATGATCAGCTCGCGATCGCGGCGAGCCTTAATCTCGTAGTCAGCTTGCGGCCCACAACCCGCTCCTCATCAAGTCTCAAAGGAGCTGAACTGATGAGTAGACTCTTGTAGGACCTCTGAAACTTTATCACTGTTGGCTAGAACATCCTTGACCATTTGCATTTGATCAAATGCCTCACTCATGCTATCCATAGGAGGCAACTCAATTCCAATCCCACTGAGATCTCTTCTGAACTTGTGAATCACTTCCTTGTGACCTTGACTAAGTAGGCGAGACGAGGAAGCGGCAACCGGTTGATAAGGATCAAGCAAAACAGGCTGTCGGACAGAAGAGGTCGGACTCGATCGAGCTAGAGTTGGACTCGATCGAGCTGCCGATCGAGCTTGTCGTGCGAGCTCAACTGGTGAAGTGTGAATGGCCACAGTAGGTGCATGCACTTCTGGTTGATCAATCTGGACTCCAGGAGCCTCAGCAGCAACAATCTCTTCATCATTCAGCAGTAAACAAAAATCTTCAATGACCCTTTCTTGATCCTCTTCTTCAACAAGTCCTTCTTGAGTGAAGATGACCTTGCACTGTTCCTTGGGGTTCTGAATAGCTTTACCAGGTAGTTGTCCTTGCTTTGTAGCAGCAGCAACAGAAGAAGCATGATTCTCCAGAGAGTAAACCCTTGTGTTGAGGTTCTCGATCTTAGAGTTTATTTCAGCTAGCTTCTTGCTTGTGTCCACTACCCCATCAGCTTGCCCTTGAAGTAGTTGCTTTAGCATTGCCTTGAGCTCATTCTCTTGTGAAGGTGCAGGCTGGGGCGGTTGGTGGGGGAAGCCTGGTGGGATATTCATTTGTTGTCCAGGGAAAGTGCCTTGTGGTCCTTGGTAATTGTTCTTTTGACCATACCCATGTTGTGGCACCTGACTCGATCGAGCTGCTTGTTGTTGAGGATATACTTGGTCCTGAGGGTTAGCAACATCAGTGTTGCGGTATGACATGGCAGGGTTGGACTTGTAGTTATAGTATCCTTTGTTGTAACCTCCTTGCCCATTGCTCATGTAGCACACCTCAGCAAATTGTGTATCCTCCCCTTCTTGGACTGGTTCCATCTCCTCAGCAGACACAAAGTTGACTTTCTTCATTGTGGACTGAGCTAGGATCAGCTTATCCAACTTCTCATTCAATGCCTTAACATCTTTTCTCAACTTTTCGTCTGACTCGATCGAGTGGTGGGTCGAGCTCCGGTTGGTGCGATCATACTCTTCTCCATAGCTTCCATTTGAGTTAGCTATGTTCTCCACAAGTTGCCAGCCATCATCTACATCCTGGTTGAGGAAGTTCCCATTGCTAGCTGTGTCTAGCATCTCCCTATACCTAGGCAAGCATCCTCTATAAAGAGTGGAGAGTAGTGATTCATTGTTGAATCCATGGTGTGGGCACTGACTTGTGTAGCCTTTGAACCTCTCCCAAGCCTCTGCGAATGTCTCATTGTTTCGCTGGATGAAGCTGGATATCTCTCCTCTAAGCTTGGCTGTGCGACCGGTGGAGAAAAACTTAGCAAGAAAGGCCTTCTTGCATTCATCCCAAGTGGTGATTGTGCCATGGGGCAAGCTCTTCTCCCATTGGTGAGCTTTGTCAGCTAGAGACATAGGAAAGAGTCTCAGCTTGATGGCATCTTCAGAGACACCATTGATCTTTGTCAAATCACAAAGCCTATCAAACTCATCAAGGTGGTCAATGGGGTCTTCACTTGGCAATCCATGGAACATCTTGTTCTGGACAAGGTTGATCATTCCCAGCTTGATCTCAAAGTTGTGGTTCTGCACTGGTGGTGGAACAATCCCTTGTCTCTGTTGGTGGCGGTTTGGAGCATCTCCTTGACCAATCGGTCGAGTTTGCCTAGCTCGACCGAGTCCATTGCCCAAAGGGTTTCCATTCCCCTCTGGTACATCCATTGTATCAGCAACAAGCACCTCAGGTTCCTCTTGTACCCTCTGTGACCTCTGAACCCTCTTTCTACCCGTTGTAAGTCTAGCTCGACCAAGTCTTCAGTAGACCGACTCGATCGAGTTCGCATACACCTGCAAAAAGAGACAAAAACCCAGCAGTACAATAGAACAGGGGTGGTATAGCTTGATCGTCCAAGTGTGTTTGAAACTCAAATGCAACAAAAATATTCCCAAATCGGCAACGGCGCCAAATTGATGATAGGATTTTGTGTGTGTGAAAAGAATGAAATGAATGATGAGTGGAATGCAATCAGTGGTATATGATGGTGGTAAGATGCAAACACAAACACAGTCAACAATTCCCTTTAACCATGATAGTTGTAGTACAAAGGGTTATCAATCCAAAATGGGAAACTTGTCACTCTATGAGAATATGAAACAACCAGGAAGTCAAGCAAGCAGTTATAGATTTGAAGTAACACTAACAACCTAAAAATGAAAATGCAGTGCAATAAAAGTAAACAAAGCAGTGAAGTGTCAGCTCGAGTCGAGTAGAGCAAAGTACCAGCTCGATCGAGTTTAGGGACGAGTTGAGACAAACAAAGCTAAAGGTGACGACTTTAACAAGATAAAGAGAGAATTAGGGTTCAAGACAGGGTTTTGCAATCAAAGGAATCTACACTTAATCAATCTAGCTCTTAAAACTCCTTGTATCAAGGCTTCTCTTGATATTGGGCTTCTCAATGCCTAGCCAACCCTTTCCCAAGGTGGAGGCTATCAACCAAGGAATGATCTCAGAAACAGGGGGTTAGCCAGTGAGAATCAAACCTTGGAGGCTATAGGATCATTGCCCAAACTAATCCATCCAACCCCTTAGACCTCTATTGTCTAGAGCAAGAGATATTGGAGCTCTTAGTGGATCTTTTCCAGCGAATGCCATCACTTTCGTGTGGGGAGTCGCCTAAGGACTTACAAGCCAGGGGTAGTGGTCATGTAGCCTTAAGATCTATCCAAAAGAGAGAGAATCTAGATTAAGACCATAAGCTAGAAGGATTAAGCATATGAAACCTCTAATCTATCCCATCTCAAACCCTAATGGGTAACTACTCACTACACATGAATGTAAACACAAGCAAATGCAATAAAAGAGACATCATAAGAAAGAGGAGATGAAATTAAACAACTTTTATTGAAATAAGCAAGTGCAAATACAAAGAGATTATCCAGGATCTAAGATTCAAGAAGCAAGAGCTTCAAGAACACAAAGATGGGATTAGATCTCTAAAAAGTAAAGACAATAAATTAAAGAAACTAAAACAAAATAATCTAAAGCTTGGTGGTTTTTTCGTGGCTTAGAGCCTTTAAATACAAAGAGGATTAGGTTTAGGGTCAAAGGAAAGTCAAGGGGGAAGCAACATTTTTCGGGTTTGACTTTGACTTCTCAGCTCGATCGAGTTGAAGCTTGGCCGGTCGAGTTGAGGAACTCGACCGGTTGGTCGAGTAGACGGTCGAGCTGGTCTTCAAGATGGCTTCTCCCTTCTTCCTTTGCGTATCCAGTTGAGCTGCTTCCATGTGCCAAGTCCCTCCATGCTCCTCATGTCCCATATGCTCCAGAATGCTCCAAAAGACCTATTTCAAAGGACCAAACATGCATATGTATGCAAATGCAACCTAAAACTAACATGAATGCATAAGAAGAGAAAAGGAACAAGATATGATGCAAATGGAAGCTAAAACTATGCAAAAGATGCATAAAAGATGTGCTAAAACTATGTAAAATGCAAGTACATCAGGGGTCTCGGCGACCTGCTTCGCCTTATCTTCACGAGTAAGTCGGAACGAGGAATGCATCTCCGATAAGTTGGATAGCGACGAACTGCAATATGAGCAACCAAAGAAGAGAGATATCGTTACCTTTGGCAAACTAGAAGAAGCGAAGTTGTGAGAAGAATGATAAGGGGGCTCGTGGTTTTAAAAGGGGAAAAGAGGCAGCTCACGTTTCCCAAGGCGGCAGGGGAAGATGTTTAACAAGAAGGCCCAAGCCCATCAGAAAAGATACACGCCTCTTCATGCTATTGTTCGATGACCTCGACTATTTATTCTTCAGCTCGCCAATCTCGACTTCAAGATCAACAAGCTGGGGGGCTAACTGTTGGGGTCGGAATACTTCCCATCGAGTTCAACGATAAAATATGACGCGTGGCAAGGAAGGAGAGCACCTGCAAGTCGATCAACCCTGCAGTGCAACCAGCAGGTCGATCGAACCAGCACAGCCGCGAGCAGGTCGATCGAACCTGCACTGCCAGCTGCAGGTCGATCGAACCCGCACAGCAAGCTGCAGGTCGATCGAACTTGCACTGCCAGCTGCAGGTCGATCGAACCTGCACTGCAAGCTGCAGGTCGATCGAACTCATCACTACAGTTACATCAGAGATCGATCGAGTATGGGCCGAGCTGTAGCTATCCTTGGGCCGAATCGACATCTATCCTTAACAATTTGAGCCCAAGCCCAAAAAGAGACTCACAGTTCGCCCTAGACGAGGGTGAGAGCCAAAGGGGTGGCGCCACAACACAGAAGAGGAAATCTTTAGAATATCTTTAGAGAATCTCGCAAAGAGTCGGCTCTATACCTTGTATAAATAGAGATCGAACCAAAAGGGTTTGATCATGACTTTTCCATTGCAAAACACTTTACACTTTACATCAATAAAATCACCATCTTTGGATCTCGATTCGTGTTATACTTAGAATTTCTAGTTCCTCTCTCAAATCATCTCTCGAATCTATTGTGCGGATTTCGGTTCACACATAGATCCACAAGTTTATCAACCGATGGATTTGGTGAAATTTGAAGACATCATCCATGGTAGTAGCGCAATGGATGAAACTTATCATGGTTGTAAGTACATGTTACATTCATGATTTGGCTTTGATGTACTTTTTCTATCACTTTTGTTAATCATCTTCATTTTGCAATATGATTAAGATTTCAGATTTACACTTTCTATATAAGTTTTAAATAAAAATGTATATTATGAATATATATGTCAGATTTACATTTATCCACCCGTTTGCAAACCCTACCAATCAATAGTATTTAAATAAACAAGATGACATATTTGTTTGCATTGCACCGCATCTATACATCAAAATTCTCTGAGATCATAATGGATCTTTCGTGTTCTCGTGATGGCATTGATTGCGAGAACCCGATGCCAACAGGAAACCTCACTCCGTTGTGTGCTGTGGAGAATAAAATAAGTGGTGTTGATAAGCAATATCAGTGCCATTCAAAAAAAAAAGGAGAACGAAAAGATATTCTGGGAACGCCTAATGAAAACACTATGTTGTCTGAAGTAGTCCCGGGTGTTGTTGGTGCAAGTATCTTTGTCAAAGTGTTACAGTTGTGGACTGAGATTGCTGTGGACTTGACTAATACTCTTCTATTGCTTTTGGTTGATTGTCAGATATATGATTATATCTTTTTTTGTTAAATCAACAGTATAATACTTTAATGTCTATCAAACTTCCTGAGATCGTCCCATGTTTATTTAGGGCGTAAAAATTCAAGCTTCGATCGCAGAAGAATTGCATGACACTTACTCTTTTGTTGTTAAAGTCGATGTGTGGATGACAATCAGCCATTTTGTGCTGCTCGATCAGGAAGAATGTTTTGCTCGACTGACAATGCATCGGTAGAAAATTGTTTTCTCCATATCGACCACGATTGATGATAGCCCTCATCGATGTTCTACATATCTTTTTGATTTTGTAGAATCTGAGAATGTCTTAGAACATGGTAAAAAAAACAGTTATTTAGTAGGTACTTAGATCAAGATGCGTGTTTTTATATTTATGTCATTTGTGTTTATTCTTTTGTTTCATAGTTTTGTGGCTGAATTTGTCTTTTTCTGGCTTGTAATAAGATCTGATAGGGGAAATCCGTACGTCGAGAGTATTGATCGCAACTTTGACTATGATCACACTATACACAAGGTTTACGGTAGTCTCCAGGATAACTATGTGCGATTGAGGATACAGAATTTGAGGTTTGGGTACTAATGACTGTTAGGTCGATTACATCGTTATGTTTTTTCTTGCTTACCTATTTCATTGTCTGACAAACAGAAAATATACTTTGGACTGTGAGTTGTTCGGAACTAGAGCTGCTGAATTTTACAAATATTGGCTAGACAACAATGAAGAAAATATCGTGTGTATTGTGAGATGGCCGGCTTTGGGCATATATGGAGGTAACTGACGTTTTAGACTAGGCATTGTGTTTGTTATACATAGTCGCGATGTTAAATTAGATGATTTTATCTTATTTAATGCAGGAGAGTTGTATATTTCATGTAACGGCCCCACTCGAATAATGTTTGATCAGTCGATATCGGAGATCGACGAATTTAAGTAGTGAGTTCTCTGTTATCGAATGAATATGTATTGTTTGTTTCCTCATGTATCCGATAATGCTAACTATCAACATTTCATATATTGAAGGCTGCTTAGGAAAAAGGTATGTCGACGTTTACTGTGGAGTGATGCTGAGGACTAATGACTTCGGTGCATTGATCGATAGCTAGATAACATGTCGGTTTTATAGTTAATTTATTTGGATTTTAATATGTTTCGTTTCACGGTCGTTTTAATTTTTATGGTTCGCTAATAGCTTAGTATCTCAGTATTGTTTCAAGATTTCCATGAGTCTCCATTCAGCATGCATTAGATATGAATGTTCCTAATGTAAAATTGCAATTCCTTTGGTGTACTTAACATAAAACTGGATGTTGTATTACATTTGTATATTACCATGTGTACCTCCTGATCTTGATTTCGCTATATGCCTACGAAGTTATATGTCGTAGAAAGACATGATTACAATTACTTATTTATTTTCCGTTTATTATTGATGTGAATTCTTTTGTTCGGTATAAGATATAATAAATGAGAATAGTTTTTACATATTTGAGAGGTACACTTCCTTATCATACTATTATTTGCAAAGTCAGAATTTCGAATGGAGGCACCACGTTAACTCTCAGCCTCGGAATTACATAACTACCCTTAATGAAAATCTTGAATAAATCTTTCAATTTGCTTATTATCTTATTTAAAAACGAATTTATTTAATTTTTTAAAAAGATGACGATTTGGATTTCTTCCTAAATTATTTTTGGATATATACCGTATAACTAACATATTTCGCGCCACATTTATGGAAGAAATTAAAATAATTGTAAAGCATAAAAAATTGGAAAACCTAGGTTTGTTAGCCGACTCTATCTTATATATAGAGATAGCAACAAGCAACATCAACCCAATTCTCATTACATGGCAAGATAACATATCGTGGATTATGTGCATCGGCACGCTCTCTGTTATAGACAGATGATTTGAGGAGAAGGCTGAGAGAGGAAAGAAAGCCAGCATCAATGAGCTGGCCGAGGTATGACTTGCTTCAAGAACAGATTTATTACAGAATAATCTTATTATAGCTTCAAACCAGAAGATGGATGTTTTGATTACATTTATTTTTATTTGATCTGTGTCGCTTTATTTGGCCAATCATTATCACATAATGGTATATGAAACGAGAAACTATGCAGGAGAGATTGATTCCTCAACATTGAGGTATGGTCCAATAATTATGGGAAGATTATGACGTATTTAAGAGGTGAGATGATTTCTTCGAATCCATATTCCATCTTCTGTCATGTAGGTTTTTCGTTTTTAGTTAGATCTTATTAGCCATGATGATTAACTGATTGTTCATAATTTCCTGTAAATTTTATTGAAGGATTCCGATCTAACTTCTCTTTCGTTAACCTTCGTTACAGTAAATTAAGAATTAAAAAACTTTGTTATGATGTATTCTAATTACCCGTGTTGTGTGTATTGTACTTTGTTTTCTAATTTGCATATGAAACATGATTCATGTCCACGATTGCGGCAGCGGCGGTGGGGTGAAGAATAATCTGATTTCTTCGGCAAAACTCAGGATCTCTAAACTGGTATATAAAGTTATAAACTACTATTACTCCTACTTTATGTCCGACAAAAACTATAAACTGGTATATTAGCTGATACCGTCTGCAATGCTTCAAGTTTACCTTTATGTGACTCAGTTGTTAGTATTGTTGGTTAATGTTACAATAAGGATTTTGATTGAATTCTCATTCTCTTCTGTATTAGCTTAGTTCTTAACTTTATTGTTTCATAAGGGAAACAATTATTGGAAATAAATTGGTCAGGATGAATCAAAAGGTGGTGCCTCTAAAGAATTTTCGATTTTTGATTTAGATCCATCATATTAGGTCTTATAACAGCTGGATGTGAGTATCAACAGCTCGGGTCTTAAGTCTCTATACTGTCAGATCGTTGAGGAAGAAACCTATTTATACTAAAGTGATAGATGTTTTAGCTCTTTAGGTTTCAAATTTTTCTTTAGTTCGTAGATAGTTTTATTCTGTAATTTTAGGGATAGTTTTTCTCTTTTTCTTTATTGATATATGTTTTTGTTTGTTTATGAAGGTTTTTATCATACTGATGATTTGATTGTGTTGTGTTTCTAGGTTTCATGGAGATGGTGTGTAAGTCGGTAAAGAACACAAAATAAAGGTTAAAGGTTAATTACTATATCAATATCATTATGTTTTTGTAAGCCTCTAAGATTCACATTATTATTGTATGGATGCAAAACCTATTTATGTTAGATGGTCCTTAGATTGAGGAGATATATACAACGAGAAAGATACATCCAATATTCTTGATTTTTTATGTTTTTAAAATTTTATCTCTTTTTGTTTCAATTCAATATTGTGAATTCCATATGTCGATCTCTTAGTTTTTTTCTTCTTTGAGAAGACCTTGATTTTTGGCTGTAAATTCCTCTTGGCAGCGGGTAATCACTAATCAGGAGGCGCTCGGCCCCAACGCTATTGCACTAAACATTGATCGTTGATTGCATGTTCAGATTGGTGATGATTGTCGGAAAATCGCGACAGACTTGAACACAATGATTACTTCTGTCCGAAGAACTTGGTAACTGGTAAGTTGGTTACTTATCAAACAGTTTCTTCGGCCTATATTTACTAATAGAGTTTTTTTTGTAACTCAGAAACACAAAAATAACAATGAGAACCCTTAGATTTGGTGAACAGGCTAAATCCGTGGGAAACAAACGAGTGATAAATGAGATATTCGAAGAGATGTGAATGATTTGAGTGACTTGAATAAAAATAAGGAAAGACAAAAGTTGGAAGACGAAGACAGAAAAGACGAACAAAAAAACAAAACAAAAGAAGAAATGAATTGAAGAATATGTGAATAATAAAGAATTGGAAAAATAAAAAGATGAAAAATGAAGAATAAGAACACAAAGCCAGTTGAAAAACAAACTGTAAAAAGGAAGAAAACAAATAAAAACCAGGAAATAAAAAGATATCGATGAAGAGAGAGGAAAAGAAATAGAGATTATAAA